TATGCGGATTCTCTGAGGAGTGGATATGGGGTGTCATGGGGGGAAAGTGAAGGGAGCAGGAGGCGGGGAGGGAGTGTGAAAACTGGGATTGGAATGCAAAATAAGAAAAGAGTTATTTTTTTTAAAAAAATAAATTAATCAATTAAAAGAAAAGAAGAAAGAGGAAGGAAGACCATGACGTTTGAGGCCATATGTGTGTTGCACAGTGAGCTCAAGAAAAGCTGGGGACAGATAGATAAATTCTGCCACAAAACAAACAAACAAATTAACTACTTTGCACTTATTAGGATGTCTATAGTTTTTTTCTAAAAAGATTCAAATTAACAAGTATTGGTGATGATGTGGAAAGGCTGGGACCATTGTGTGTGTCTGACATGGATGTAAAGGGGTACAGCTGATGTTGAACATCCTCAAAAAGTTCAATATAGAGTGCAAACATAACCCAACAATGTTATTCCTAGACATATAGCCAAAAGAACAAAAGACCAGCATCTAAGCAGTATGATATGTTCATTGCAGTATGATTCACAATAGTCAAAAGGTGGACATAACCCGAATGTCTAAACACAGATAAACAAAATGCAGTAATACAAACAATTAGATATCTGGACATATAAAACAATGAAATTCTGAGGTGCTACAACATACATGAAACCTTAAGAACATTCAGCTAGATAAGACAGTACAAATGGACAAATATTATATGCCTCTACTTATTATACTTCTAGAACTGGCAAATTATAGAGGCAGAAAGTAAGACAAGAGTGTGAGAGGAAATGAACTGAGGAATAGGCTTATCTGCTGAGTGGTTTGAATAGAGCACTGACCAAAAGCACAGAAAAGGAAGTACTATTACTTAACTGACTTTCTGCGTTTTCAGCCTGAGACTGCAGCCTAGAAAATGATGACACCTGCATTTGAGGAGGGGTGAATCTTCCCTCCTCAGTAAAATGCCCTGAGAATGATCCCTCCGAATCTAGTCAAGCTGACAATCAAGATTAGGCACCGCAAATGTGCAGGCTAAGACACAGAAGAAGGGGTGTTTGGGGCAATGCCATTCACCAGAAGTCCTGCATGTTTGGCTGTCTCTCTGAACATTGTCCTCTGAGTTCATATGTGGAGACTCCATGTCATTGGACTAAGAATATAACTAACGTACCAGATGGAGTGGGGGAATTCAGTAAAGCCTGTCTGTGATTCTTGTTCTGTGTGAAGCATTCCTTTCCCATGGGTTTGGAGTGATAGTTCTTCTGAAACGGGGATCTTAGGATTTACTTGCAGACAAGTCATGTCAAAATATTGAATTGTGGCTTCCAAGACAAAGGTTAGAGAAAGTTTTATTTTTTCTTTCTGAGGCATGTTTCTGATGTCTAAAGTACTCTAACATAAAAATACATGCTTATTGTCTGACACTAATAATTCAGGAAATAACAAGGGCCAGAATTAAAAATGAACCAGAATTCATGGGTAAAATAATGTAATCAGGATTGTAGAAATATTTTGTTTGTGTTTTAACAAATAAAGTTTGCCTGAAGATCAGAGTACAGAGCTAAGCCACTAGAGGCCAGGCAGTGGTAGTACATACCTTTAATGCCAGGACCCAGGAGACAGAGCAGATGGATCCCTATTAGTTCAAGGCCACCCTGGGCTATACAAAATTCATCCAATCTATAAGAGAAATAGAGTTCATATAAAGGTGATCCCAGTACTTGGGATCTCACGTCTTTAATCCTAGCACTAGGGAGGTGGAGACAGGAGTGATAATGGCTAGGCAGAGAGAGGAATATAAGGTGTGAGGAGACAGGAGCTTGGATGCAGTCTAAAACAGTCAGTCAGAGGTTATAGTCAGAGGAAGCAGTCTGAGGACAGGATCACCCCTTTGGTCTGAGCGCTGGTAGAGGTAAAAGGTCTCTCTAGTGGCTGACCGCTTTCTCTGATCTTTCAGCTTTTACCTCCTAATATCTGACTCTGGGTTTTTTTTTTGATTGATTTTTATTGAGCTCTATATTTTACTCTGCTCCCCTCCCTGCCTCCCCCTCCCCCTTCAACCATTGCCCAAGGTCCCCATGTTCCCAATTTATTCAGGAGATATTGTCTTTTTCTACTTCCCATGAGATTAGATCTATGTAAGTCTCTCTTAGTATCCTCATTGTTGTCTAAGTTCTCTGGGATTGTGGTTTGTAGGATAGCTTTCTTTGCTTTATGTTTAAAAACCACCTATGAGTGAGTACATGGGATAATTGTCTGGGTCACTTCACTCAAAATAATGTTTTCTAGCTCCATCCATTTTCCTGCAAAAATCAAAATGTCGTTTTTTTTTTTTTTTTTGTTTTTTTTTTTCTGCTATGTAGAACTCCATTCTGACTCTGGGTTTTTATTAAGATCAATTAGAAATCGCATTACACAGGATGGCACTGTCAAGAAAATAGATGTGTAGACTGAGGTAATAGAATAGAGAATGTGTAAACAAGTATAAAAGTCTCAATATGGATACCAATAATACATGCAAGGAAGGATAATCTCTTCAATAAATAGAATGGAAAACCTAGATTTCTACATACAAACTAATAAAATGAGACTTGTATTTTCCACCATTCACAAAAATAAACTCAAAGTAGACAAAAGACCTAAATCTAAGTCCTGAAATGACATATGGGGACAGATACTTGACACTGGTTTTAGCAATTGTTTTGTTTTGGTTTTGGTTTGTCACATCAAATACATGTACTACAAAACCAAAATGATCAAAGTCAAAAGGAAAGAAAGGCAACCCTACCAACTGGATAAAACCAAACAATCTGCAAACCACGTATCTTATAAAGGGTTAATATCCAAATTTATAAGAACATTTACAACTCAATAGGCAGAAAAATAAACAGACAGTAAAAAATGGGCAAAAGACCAGAACACATATTTCTCCAAAGAGGAGTTAAACCAAAGAGGTGTATGGAAAGGTAGGTGGTCAGGTCAGGAAGTTATTTTCCTGAGAATGTGAAATTAAAATAATGACAGGCTTTGATGGAAAGCACTGCTGTGCAGGGTATAGAAATGGAGCAATCACGGAACACAGTACAGACTGCTAAGAAGAGAACTGCATGTGAACTACCAATCTCCCTGAGGACATGCGCAAAGAGGTGAAGCCACCACCCGCTCCAGCTTCCTTTCTGTGAGAAAACCCTCGGACCCAAAGCAACGTAACAGAGGAAAGGATTTATTGTAGCTTACAGCTTATAATATATTCCCAAAGGAAACAGGGCAGGAATTCAAGCATGAACTCCTCACAGACAAGAAAATACAGCAAGAATCATGGGAAATACTCCCTGCCAGCTCTGGTCTATTCTTAGCTAGTTTTTGTATTCAGTCCAGAACAATCTGCCAAGGATACAGAGTGGGCGGGACCCTCCTGTATCAATAATAATAATAACCACCTCTCCCTAAGGCATATTTCATAGGCTAATCTGATCTAGGCAATTCCTCAACAGAAGCTTTCTTCTCAGATGATTGTAGTCTGTATTAAGTTGACAAAGTGAACTAGGCTATGATCTCATAAAGGTATCCACAATTCCAGGTTTCTTGCAGAATATTCATAAAAACTAGGAAATGGAACAGCCTACAGATCTGTAATAGCTAGCTTTATCGATCAATCTGACACAACCTAGAATCACCTCAGAAGAGAGTCTCAATGAAGGACTGGGCTGACCTGTGGGCATGCCTGTGGGAAACTGTCTTAATAAAACTCATGAGGGAAGGACCAGCCCACTGTGGGTTGCACCAGTCCCTAGACGGGGGTTCCTGAACTATTAAGAATGGAAAAATTAAGCTAAGTAGAAGCAAGCAAGTGGGTGCACATGTGTGCATCATGTCTCTCTGCTCTTGACTGTGGATGATGTGACTGGCTATTTGAAGTTCCTGCCTTGACTTCCTCACAATGATGGACTGTAACTTGGAATCATGAACTAAAATAGACCCTTTCTTCCCTAATTTTTATCACAACAACAGAAATGAAAGCAGAACAGTATCCAGGAGTAATGGATATATAAAATGTGATGTGTGTGTGTTGAACTGTTGATTAGCTTTAAAAAAGAAAAGTCTGTCATTTACTACAACATAGAAAAACCTGAGATTATGCTAAGACAAATAAGTCAAATAAAGAAAAATTTGACCTTGTTTATGTACAGAATTTAAAAAAATCAAATATAAAAAAACATATAATAATAAGGTAGATTTGTTTTGGTATATACTTATAATCCCACTACTCAAGATACTGGGCAAAAGGATCATGAGTTCAGGGACAGTTTGAACTACACAGGAAAACTATGTCTACAAACAAACAAACAAATAGAAAAACAAAAGGCACATACCAAATGAATAAAAAATCAAAATCAAAACAAAAACAGCAATTCAGTTAGGGAGGGAAATAGGGAGATAAAGGCCTAAGGATAGAAAGTAGCAGGTGTATAGGTTAACACATCTAGGAATCCAGTGAACAAGAGGATTGGTTCAATAATGACATTTTTGTCTTCAAAGACATTTTAGCTGCTATTACCACAGAAAAATAGCTACTTAATGGATGACGGATAAGTTCATTTGCCTCATCATAGAAATAATTTATCACTTATATATACTTTCTAACCAAAATGCTGTAAACTTCAAATATACAAAATAAATTTTATTAAAAACAGCAAAGTAAGCTAAAGAGATTGTGCACTTTCTGCTCTTCCAGAGGACCCGAGTTCAGTTCTCAGCAGCCACACTGGGGGGCTCACAAGGGTCTTTAACTCCAGTTCCAGGGAGATCTGAGAGCCTCTCCTGGCCTTTTCTATACTGTGTACATGTGCACACTAACACAAACAACAGACAAAAGTGATTAAAAGGCATTGGTTAAAGAAACAAGCTTTTCATCCTTCAGCAGGGCTCTATCAATTGGATGTTAGTATTTTATGTGTTAATTTTCTTAACTAATAGGATTTAACTTCAAAGTATTTTAACTCAGCACTTACTTTTTTGGTAAGAGAGTCATCAGAATCAGAAGGCATTCTTGTTGATACATGAAATATCACTTCTACTGTAGAGGTAGCAAAGTATGGCGTGGTCAGTCCAGTGCTTTTGTTCTTTTGTAGTCCTCCCATGAAACCACAGTGATTGGTAAGATTTACCTAGGGACAATGAAGAATTACATAAGCATCATCAACAACAAAATCACAGAAACACTGTTGAAAAAGAAAAAAAAATCTACAAAGATGTTAGGAATAAAGTCTTTTCATCCTGCTAAACTCATAGATAGTGTCTTGCTCAGCCATCATCAGAGAAGCTTCTTCCTGCGGCATATGGGAACAAACAGAGATGGAGGACACCAGGAGAACAAGGCCTTTAAATCAGCAAGACTGGCCCACGTGTGAACTCACAGAGGCTGAGGCAGCACGCACAAGGCCTGCATGTGGAGTCCTCGAGCTGAAAGGAGAAATGGGTATGTGGCCCCATCCCTAACTCATCTCCAACTAATAAACACTTGCAAATGAAAAGTTAATTTTCTCCAAGAAAGTCTCACTGGGGAAACCAACTATTGTTAAGGGTATGTTGCCTGGCCAGCAGTAAATGGACAAGAGAAAACAAACTCAATGGTATCTTTGGAAATTCCTTGTCTCATAATGTTATGTGTCAGAACTTCTCCTTTTTAACGTTTTAAAATATTTTTATCTTATTACTGTTTTACCCAACAGGTCCTTTGCATATTATATAACAGCTTCCAGTTTAGTGGGTTTTTTTTTTAAATTTTGTTTTGTTTTGTTTTATGGGATTCTTGAATGTGTGAGTGGGTCGCTGTTTCTTGTGCCTTCTTTTAGGTTATTTACCTTCTGGTTTGTTTTGTCTTATTCTGATGTGTTAGTTTTTGTTTTATCTTCTATTATATTTTATTATTATCTTCTAGAAACCTGTTTTTTAATGAGACAGAAAAGGGGTGGATCTGGATAGGAGGGGAGGTGGGAGGAACTAGGAGTAGAGGGAAGAATATAGTGTCAGGATATAGTATGTGAGATACATAATCAGGATATAGTATGTGAGAAAAAAATCCATTTACATTAAAAGGGGGAAAAGGAAGAAGGTCTTTTATATGCTACTGGCCAATATTAAATCTAGCATTATAGGTAGCTCTCTGTCTCTGTGGGGTCCACATCTACAGACTATACCAACTATGGATTGAAGGTATTCAGAGAAAAAAAGAGCTTGTACCAAACAGGTACAAACTTTTATTTCCTGTTATTAATATTTCCTAAATAATATAGTATGGCAACTAGTTTGACACAGGGTCTCACACAGCCCAGGCCTTGAACTCCTAATTTCCTGTCTCTACCTTCCAAACGATGGGCTCAAAGGCATGTGCTACCACACATGGCCTGATGTAACAACTATTTACACAATGTTTACATTTTATTGGGTATTATAAGTAATTCTTATATCATTCAGGAAAATGTGCATTATGCTGTCATTTTTATATTAAGGATGTGAGTACTGTGGATTTTTGGTATCTGAAGGGGGTCCTCGAACCAATCCTCACATAATCCAAGAGGCAACTTTATTAGAGGTGATTTGTTCACATCAGTAATTTTTTAAAAAGTATTTAAGGAGCTTTAACTAGTAGAAGAAAGAAAGCAGCTGTTGTTTACTATAAACTTACATTGAAAACTAGGTTTTAAGAGTAAACTAGAAAGGCTTTGCAGGGTCACTAAGATCAGAGTAAAAATCAGATCTAAGATGATTTAGAAGAATGTTAAAACAATGTCAACTTCGAAAACGATCAATTAGATGTCTCATATTTACTCATAAAACTGTCTTCCTAATACCCATTACAGACTAGAATAAAAAAATTTGAAAAAAAAATCACAAAATTTAACTGCACTTCAATTACAAAAACCTATCAATTGATCTGTATGAAGATCTGGAAACATTTTAGGTCATGATACAATATATAATATGTGCCAGTATCAGGGCTGTAGCACTGGATGGTCCCCTTGACCTATCTAATGCACAGAAGGTAAGAAATTGTTCTGGTAAGAGACGAAATCATTGGCTTTCTTGGCCTTCTCTGATGCCATCTGATAGTACCTCATTACTGCCTTGTGGAGATGGAAGGCAGGAGATGGAAGTCTAGGTTTCCTGTCTGACCTTTGGCATATATGTGCAGTTCCTCCAAGGGCTCCTTTCCTGGTTGTCTGGCTTTTATAGGTGTCCATATGTTTTAGGGTACTGGCTCTTCAGCTGAGGTGCACTGCATTCCCCAAACAGGAAGCAGAGTGCAATGAACACTCTTCTCGGCTTGTTTTTCCCCTTTATTCCATCGGGACCCCAACCCATGGAATGATATCACCCAAATTTAGAGTGGAGTTTCCCTCCTCCATCAATCTAGATTAAAAGGCTCCTCATGTCCAGAATTTGTTTCCATAGTGATTCTAATTCCCATCAGGTTGACAATAAAAATTAAGCACCACAGCATTCATTCCTTTTTCTGGCTAATACTCACTTATCACAATACACTACATCTATTTACCCATTTACTCACTAATGAACATAGAAATGTGTTGTTTTGCCAATTTATTATGCAGCAATGAACAAAGATTTTTAAGTTTTGTATAAGTTTAAACTTTTACTTTTCCTGGGTATGCATACAGCAGAACTATTTTGTTACAAGGTGTCCCGGCTAGTTTTATGTCAACCTGACACAACCTGGAGTTATCTGAAAGGAGGGAACCTTAAATGAGAAAATGCTTTCATAAGATCTGGTTGTAGGGCATTTTCTTAATTAATGATTGATCAGGGAGGGCCCAGCCCATTGTGGGTGGTGCCATCCTTGGGCTGGCGGTTCTAGGTTCTATATGAAAGCAGGCAGAGCAAGCCATGAGGAACAAGCCAGTAAGCAGCAGTCCTCTTCATGGCCTCTGCATCAACTCCTGCCTCAAGGTTCCTGCTCGGTTTGAGTTCCTGTCCTGACTTTCTTCAGTGACGAACAGCAATGTGGAAGTGTAAGCCAGGCAAATCCAAGTTGCTTTGGTCATAGTGTTTCATCACAGCTATAGTAACCCTAACTTGAACATATGGCACCTTTATGCTTAACTACCCAATCAACTATGCTACAGCATGTTATGTCTCCTCTAGCAGAATATGAGAGTTCAGATTGCTTTAAATCCTAGCCAAAGATATGACTTGATTTCTTAAATCTAACCATCCTGCTGGGTGTGAAGAGATACTCATTGTGGTTTCCTCCTTTTCTTCCGTGATGGCTCATGATATCAAGAGTCTTTTCATGTATTTACTAAACATTTACCTATCTTTGGAGTATATCTATCATGGTCCTGCGGCCATTTTTTAAATTGGAGGATTTAATACATGAGTACATTTGCATTATTTTCACCCCTCTCCTCTAAAACTCCTCTATGTCCCCTCAATAATCTCTTCTTGAATTCATGACCACTTTTTCTCTATTTTTGTTATTCTGAGTCCAATCAGTGTTGCCCATGTTTGCATGTTTAGGTAGGTATGACCACTGAGGACTGTGGTCCTATACCTGAAAACAAACAAACAACAAAAGCAAAAACCTGTTTTTTCCTCCCTCAGCAGCCACTGACTGACTGCCTGTTGTTATTTATCTGGGGAAATTTTGTGAAATTTCCTTCCATCTATGTTGTCATGTCCCCTGGTAAAGATTTTGGGCATTTTTTTTTAACTGAATCACATGCTACTTTTTTTTTAAAACTTGTATGAGTTCTTCAAATATTCTATGTACAAATATCTTCTCAAATCTAGAATTTGCAATTACATCCCCCAATCTGTGGAGTTTTTTACTTTGTGGGGTCCTTTGAAGCACAAAAACTATAATTTTGATGAGTGTTCTTTTCCCCTTGCTCATGCTTTTAGTTTTAGATCTAAGAAATATTTATCAAATCTAAGGTCATAAATACTTGCACCTATATTATCTTCTAAGTGTTTTATAACTTTAAGTCTTTGATCCATTTTGAGTTAATTCTTATATATAGTATTGTTTGACTTCACTTAAAAATTACTTTATTTTTAATTATGTGTGTATGCTGATGTTGTTAGTGTTTGTGTGCACGTGTGGTGGGGGAGGTATGTGCAATGATGGCCAGGCCCTGTAGAGCCTAGTGGAGGGTTGTTGGATTACTGTGGAACTTGAGCTACAGGCACTTGTGAGACTCCCAACATGGGTGCTGGGAATCACTCTCTTAACTGCCGAGTCCCCTGACTTTTTATGTGTGTGTGTGTGGGGGGGTATGGCTATCTGGTTATGTCAGCAACATTTGTTGAAAAGATTATTCATTCTCCACTGAATGGTCTAGGTAAAAAATTGTTGACTATAAACATGTGTACTCTATGTTCTATTCCACTGATCTGTATATTTATCCTTTTGCTAATACCATACTATCTTGATTAGTATTGCTTAGTAGCAAATTTGAAATCAGAAGGTATATATAGCCCTGATGGAGGAAGGTCATTGGTTAAATAAAAAGAAACTGCTTGGCCCTCATTGGTTAGAAGATAGGTGGGAGGAGTAAACAGAACACAACACTGGGAGGAAGAGGAAGTGAGCTCAGACTCCACAGCTCTCCTCTCTCAGAGAGACGCCATGCTCCCAGCTCCCAGGCAGACATGCGCGATGAAGCTCTGACCCAGGATGGACATAGGCTAGAATCTTCCCGGTAAGCGCACCTAGGGGCGCTACACAGATGATTAGAAATGGGCTAAATTAATATGTGAGAATTAGCCTAGAAGAGGCTAGATAGAAATGGGCCAAGCAGTGATTAAATGAATACAGTTTGTGTGTTGTTATTTCGGGCATAAGCTAGCCAGGCAGCCGGGGTGCTGGGGACGCAGCCCTGCCGCTCATATTACTACATAGCCCTCCCAATTTGCTCTTCTTCTCATGTACCCCTCACTCTTAGTAATGATTCTATAGTTCTTCAATACAAAAAATCCATTTGTTATGTTTTTAAGGCATATTTACATATACCATCTTAACTGAATTTTTTGGCTTAGAGAGCTTACATAATCCACATAAGGTGAACTGGCTCGTAACCCATATAATAAATATAGAGTGGGATAAGAAAAGCTGACATATTAGACACTGTGGAAAGTACTGGTATTAAGAGCAGAAGTCAGTAAGACAGAGTGCCAGCCCTCGAAAAGTTTGTTGCCTAGTTCAATCGTCTTCAACAACTTTATCAGATACTCTCAATAAAAATTTTGTGAAATAACTGTCAACTATAAGAAAAATTTTTTTATTGTAAGTTTAAATGGCTACCAAGGTTATTATTTCTATGATACTGCTTTAAATATACATCCATCAAACCCAAAGTCATTTGTTGAACCTGGAGTTTGTGGATTTGGCTATCTAGTGAGCAATCGGGATCTGTCTGTCTCTATTTCCCCAGTGCTGCATTACAGACTCCTCCACTGAGCCTACCTTTTAATATGGGTGCTGGGGATCCAAACTCAGGTCCTCATTCTTACTAGGTAAGCTCACGAGCAACTGATCCATCTTCCCAGTCCCTCTTGTAACTATTTCTTAAACAGTATAGCAGAGCAATGGAATATACAGCATTTAGATTACTTTGGATAAGTAACTTAGGTATGCTTTAAAGATACGCATTAGTTTTAGGCAAGTATTCCACTGTTTTGTATGAGGGACTGGAACATCCTTGGATTCTGGTATATGAAGGTTGACTGAGGACTAAATATAAAATAATGGTTGGTATAACCTAAAAACAATACCTCCCATCCAAGACCGGCTACAAAATCTTCATATGCTTGACTTCCTCCTACATTGGTGAGAATGGAGTATTTATCTTCTTGTCCTTCAGCAACGTAAAATACTGCAATCTTGTGTGTCTCTCGGCTACAAAAACAAAAGGTTACATCATTCATTTGTCTGCTTATTAAATTCCATATACAGAGAATATGAAAAAGACTTAGATGCTATAGTCTACAGAAGAAGATAACTAATTGCAATTTAAATAGAGGAATCAAAAAAGTAACAAAATTGCCACTGGACCAGAAGAAAGGCATGGTTACTTCTGACTGGAAAAACTAATACTTAAAGTAATAATGAATTAGATAAAGGTATGAATTTGGAAAATGAAGGCAGAGTATGGACAAGGATAGATATATATGGATGCATGATCATCTAAAGAGTTGTTCATTGCGCAGCGTGACTGAATCTCAGCGTTAAAGTGACAGTTTTAGAATTAAGCAACCATCAGTAGGTAGTGTATTCCCTCAAACTGCATACAACAGAATATGAACATACATACATACATACATGCACAAACACACACACACAGATACACACACACATATATGCAAGGGTTAACTGCCAAATTCTTGGACATTTAACTTTTAGTTTTCTCTGAATTATTTATTTATTTTTTAATTTATTTATTTATTAAAGATTTCTGTCTCTTCCCCACCACTGCTTCCCATTCCCCTCCCCCTCCCCCAATCAATTCCCCCTCCCTCGTCAGCCCAAAGAGCAATCAGGGTTCCCTGCCCTGTGGGAAGTCCAAGGACCACCCACCTCCGTCCAGGTCTAGTAAGGTGAGCATCCAAACTGCCTAGGCTCCCACAAAGCCAGTACATGCAGTAGGATCAAAAACCCATTGCCATTGATATTGGGTTCTCAGTAGTCCTCATTGTCCGCTATGTTCAGCGAGTCCAGTTTTATCCCAGGCTTTTTCAGACCCAGGCCAGCTGGCCTTGGTGAGTTCCCGATAGAACATCCTCATGTTCTCAGTGTGTGGGTGCACCCCTCGTGGTCCCGAGTTCCTTGCTCGTGCTCTCTCTCCTTCTGCTCCTGATTTGGACCTTGAGATTTCAGTCCGGTGCTCCAATATGGGTCTCTGTCTCTGTCTCCTTTCATCGCCTGATGAAGGTTAATATCCAGGAGGATGCCTATATGTTTTTCTTTGGGTTCTCGTTATTTAGTTTCTCTAGGATCACTAATTAAGGCTCATTGTCCTTTGTTTATGGCTAGAAACCAAATATGAGTGAGCACATCCCTTGTTCCTCTTTTTTGGGTCTGGCTTACCTCACTCAGGATAGTGTTTTCTATTTCCATCCATTTGCATTCAAAATTCACAAAGTCCTTGTCTTTTACTGCCAAGTAGTACTCTAATATGTATATATTCCATACTTTCTTCATCCATTCTTCTATTGAAGGGCATCTAGGTTGTTTCCAGGTTCTGGCTATTACAAACAATGCTGCTATGAACATCGTAGAGCATATACTTTTGTTGTATGATAAGGCCTGTCTTGGATATATTCCCAAGAGTGGTATTGCTGGGTCCAGGGGTAAGTTGATCCCGAATTTCCTGAGAAACCGCCATACTGCTTTCCAAAGTGGTTGCAAAAGTTTGCATTCCCACCAGCAATGGATGAGTGTACCCCTTTCTCCACAACCTCTCCAGCAAAGGCTATCATTGGTGTTTTTGATTTTAGCCATTCTGACAGGTGTAAGATGGTATCTTAAAGTTGTCTTGATTTGCATTTCCCTGATCACTAAAGAAGTTGAGCATGACCTTAAGTGTCTTTTGGCCATTTGAACTTCTTCTGTTGAGAATTCTCTGTTAAGCTCAATGCCCCATTTTATAATTGGGTTGATTAGCCTTTTACAGTCTAGTTTCTTGAGTTCTTTATATATTATGGGGATCAGACCGTTGTCAGTTGCGGGGTTGGTGAAGATCTTCTCCCAGTCAGTGGGTTGCCTTTCTGTCTTAGTGACAGTGTCCTTTGCTTTACAGAAAAGTGTTCACAAAGGCAAACTTCTAATGACACATCTAGTCGCTCAGGCGAGCTAAACCATCTATGTCTGATGGATGTTGGCAAACCTTAGTACCAGAAAAAAAATGGGAAGAACTCATACATACTTACTGACTTTAAAATTGGACCAGAAGTAAATTTTGTTGCCAAATTATGTAAGAATGAAAAAAAAATAGATCACAGATACCAACAAAGAGATACAAACAAATATTTAAAACTGAAGTCTGCAGCCAGACTTTCCTACACATTTTGAAGAGTTAAGCCATGACTACAAGTTTCTATGTGAGCAACACAAGCTTCAGCAAGGGTCTGTCACTGGTGGCATTTCATTTCCTTTCATTTCATTCCCTGTGTAAAGACACAGGGAAACTTTCAATGTGCTCAATAGAATGTTAGCATAATCCAGTCTAAGCAGTCAAGTGTAACTGGGGTAGTGATGGGGTGGGGGGAGAGCCAGAATTGCAGAGTATAGATCTGGATGGCCTTTTTTTCCAAGTAAAACCCAATTTAACTGGTGAAAGTTATTATTTAAAAAATTCTAGCCTAATGTGTCCTAAGGCATAAAGAAACAGAAAATCTTCCCCCCTTCCCCTCCAGTCCTAAGAGAGGGCAGGGTACCCTGCCCTATGGGCAGTCTAAGGCCCTCACCACTCCATCCTGGCTTAGGAAGGTATGCATCCAAATAGAATAGAACCCCAAAAGCCAGTACATGCAGTAGAGACAAATCCCAGTGCCATTATCGTTGGTTTCTCAGTCTGCCTCAATTGTGAGCCACATTCAGAAGGTCCAGTTTGATCCCATGCTCGTTCAGTACCAGTCCTGTGTGGATATTTTTTGTCTGCATGTTTATACATCATATGCAAGCAGTGCTTGAGGAGGGCAGAAGAGAGAGCTGGATTCTGGAACTAGAGCTGCAGCCATATGAGTGCTATGAGCCAAACCTAGACTCTGCGGGAGCAACACATGTGTTGTTAACCGCTGAATCCTCTCTCCAGCCTCCACTAGTAAACTTCTAATTCAAACTGCAGATACAAGTGAAAACAAAACGGGAAGACACCATGTAAACTGTAGACGAGAGCTGAAATGATTCTACCAATGCTACACTAACATATTAACCCCAGACAATATAGAAAAAGCTGTGAAACCAAGGCTGGTTCTTTAAGATAGGTAACCAACTTTTCTTAATATTTTTATCTAGTTGAAGGAAAAAAAGAATCCTGTGCAGGCAAGATGGCTCAGTGGGCAAAAGCACTAACAACACAAGTCAGACAGCCTGAGTCTAGTCTTTGGCCCCTACAAAAAGTTGTCCTTTTATCTTGCCCCCTCATCTCTATCTCGCCCTTACCCTCTCCCTACACAATAAAAAATTAAAATAAGAAAAAGGAGTCATGTTACCAAAACCATACTTTACACAAAAAGATAAAGGTACTATTAATAAATATGTATGACAGTATGACAATAGATAAATTAAAAACACAATTCCCAGAAAAACATATACTGCTAAAACTAAATTTAAGAAAAAATTGAATATCTACAAATTTTTAACTATATAGTAATCTTCTGAAAAGGAAGATGTCACATTATTTCCACTTGTAGATATGATTTTATATATAGAAGACATGGAACCAGCAGGATTGCTCAGTGATTAAACTGCTTGCTGCCAAGCCTGACAGCCTAAGTGCTGTTCTCACAGCCCACTGTGGAAGGAGAGAACTGACCACTAACTATTGGAAGTTGTACACACACACACACACACACACATGCACAAATGATAAGTAAAATTAAACTAAAAAAATCCTCAAGAATCTAGTAGAAAACCATTAGAACTACTAAGTGAATCCAGTAAGTTTGGAGAATATGCAGTCCATACACAAACTTCAGTGTATTCCTATGCATATTTGCAATGTAGAATCAAAAGTGAGAAAAAATACTTTCGTACTGGTATATAAAAAAGAATAAAACATTTAGGTATAAATCTAATATGTATAAAATACATACTTTGAAAGCCAGACAACACTGCTGAGAAGAAGTGAGAGAAGCTAAGGCCCTGAACAAAAGGACTCTTCTACTCACTGGCTCAAAGACTTACTACTGTTAATGTTATAGTACTCTCCACAAGCCTAGATTCGGTTCAGCCACTGTCACAATCTGGGCTTTCCATCTTACAAGAATTGTCAAACTGATTCTAAAATTCAGAGCAAAATATAATAGACTCAATAGACAAAACAAACTGAGAAAGAATAGAGTTGACAGTTGAAGGAATCTTTTTTTTTTTTTAAGGCAGGGTTTCTCTGCACAAGGACTTCCTGGAACTCACTGCTAGACCAGGCTGGCCTTGAACTCAGACATCTGCCTGCCTCTGCCTCCCGAGCACAGGGATTAAAGGCGTGTGCCACCAAAATCCACTGGAGGACTCATGCTTTACAGTCTCAAAACTTGTGGCAAAAATGAATCAAGGCACTGTAGTACTATCTGACAACAATCAAATGCCTAGAAATGAAAAGCTCTCACTATGGAGCTAAGTCCAGTCTAGTTTAGAACTTACTACGTAGCATAGGCTAGCCTTAAATTTGCCTCAGCCTCTCCAATGTTTACATTATACAATTGCCAAGTCTAGTTGGTCAGTTGTGTTTTGATAATGGTAAAACTGAAATTAGGTAAGGAAAAAAAAACAAGTGGTGTGGGAAAAGAATGAAGTCAAACTCTTACATCATTTAAAAAAGTTAAATCAAAATGAATCATAGGCCCAAATATAAGAGCTGAAACTATTCAAGTCTCAGAAAGAATTCCAGGACTATGAGTTAGGTCAGGTCTTAATTTTATTAGTAAAGAAGAACCCTTACTAATGTCCACCATAGTATAAAAAAGCCATTATCAGCTCTGAATTTACAGTGCTACAGATGATATCAAAAATAGTGAAATGACAACCTAAATCATGAGAAAAGTATTTGTAAGTTATAACTAACGGAGAATTTGAATCTAGAAATGTATAAAGAACTCTTACAATGCAATACTAAAAATAAAAACAGAAAAGACTGGCAAAGATGGGCAGGAGAGATGGCTCAGCAGATAAGGAATCGGCTTCTTTATGATGACTCAGGCTCAGTCCCAGCACCCACACAGAGGCTACAACCATCTATAAATCCAGTTCCAGGGCATCTAACATCCTCTTCTGGCTTCTGCAATCAACAGGCACACACATGTTGCATATACATATATACAGACACATTATACATATGAAATAAAAATATCTTTAAAAAATGACAGGCGAAGAATTTCGTTTCCTAGGATGTCTGTGACAAAGAATATGAAGTAGGTGGTTTTGACAATGCTGTCTCTGAAGGCAAGGGGTGAGAAGCCTTCCCTTGGCTGGTAGCTGTAGCAATCCTCTGCATTCCTCACATTCTAATGTATCTGGGAATCTCCCTGGCCACTTACATTCTATGTACATGTCTCCTTCTTATAAGAACAGCAGCGAGATTTGGGAGCAAATTTAATCCAGTATGACCTTATCTTAATTTTAACTGTGCCCTGATTTCCAAATTACACTCTGAGATTCTGGGTAGACAGGAAAAAATTGGAAGACATCATTTAATCCTATACAAATTTGAATATATCCTTTTGGATATTGTATATCCAAAAGATACACAAATGGCTATTTTAATTACTTAAAAATGCCTCATATTATATGGTAAATCAAAAACACAAGATATGACTCCCTATTCTACGAAGCTGAATTTAAAAGGTGGGCAGTAATAAGCAGGCCATGACAGAGAAGCAGAGCCTGCACACACGGCTGGTTAGGATCAGAAACGCTGCAGCTTCTATACAAATCAGGTTGCCATTTACTCAACAAATTAAATGAAAATCAGCTCTAAAATTGGATTGTACTGATGCTTATTCGGTAAACACATTGCTGTTAACATACTAGTTAATAACTGTGTTTCAATATTGGTCTGTCAATTTTAAAGCTGCACACTAAGACAACAAGATGTCAACAACAAGAGAAGCTGTTGAGCAAGATGCCACATGGAAACACTTAATACTTTTCTTACCAATTTTATTTTCAAACCTAACACTGCTCAGATTTTAAAACATGCCCAAATTGGAATTAAATTTAGTGGATATTGCAAATCAAACCAGGGCCCTCTGCAAGCACAAGTGCTCTTGGAATTGCTGTGCCAACTCTCCAAATATATACAGTTTTTATGCTGAAATATAATAGACACCAATGAGTTAAGAAATTCAAACTACAGGAGTATCTGAATAGAGGCTAAAAAAGAATTTTGAAGAGGAAAGGGAAGGGAGAAATGTTGCACTTATGTTATAATCTCAAAAATAAAAAAAATAACATATATCACCACTATTTTATTTTATTTTAATATTTACTAAAAAAAATCCTACAGGATAAGCTGCTTTCATAGCATGATCAAAATGGTTTATTTTAAACAAACAATCAATAGCTTTTCCTGAAGAAGAAGGAAAGAAGAGTTACTCTCACTAAAATCAGGACAGGCAAGGATGTCCATACACTTTTTCAACCTTACTTACTATTAACCTCAAAGTTCTATTCGGCACATAGATATAATCAAAACTGACTATCAGAAAAGAGACTGGAGATAATGACTGTATTCCTAAACAAATCTAAAAGAAAGATGACTAAAACCAAAAGATGCTTAAAAGCAGTATGAAAGCTCACTAAAGTGTTGGATACAAGATAAATATTAAAAGTGAAAAAAAAAGCCAATATAATATCAGGGACTGGAGAGATGACTCAGCCATTAAATGCTAGGCTCACAACCAACATGTCAAAAATATAACATTGGAGATCCTATTTAGAATTAACAATAAGATAACAAAATACCCAGGAATTACTCACATAGGTATGGTTTGGGTCTCAAAATAAGTAAAAAGATATTAACATAATTATGTACAGAAAATGTATTATATAGCTGTAATAAACTAAACATTAATATATGTACAAAAACAGACAAATCAATAGAAATACACATAGCTTTGAAGTACAAAGTTTAAATGTTTGATAAAGGCTATAGTAAATCAATAGGAAAGATTATAGAGTTAATTTAAGAAATTATAGAAATAGATCATTTCCAAGATTTAACTTAGTTCTAATTATCTTTTAAAATTGTTTATTTATGTATTTATTTTTATAGATTTATTTTATTATTGTTAATTATGTGTATGTGTGTCTGCAATGGGTATGCACATGTTCAGTGCCTGTGAAAGGGAAAGGAGGGTGTGAGGTCTTCTAGACCTGGAATTACAAGGCAGTAAGTAGTGAGCCACCTGACATGGGTGCTGGGCACTGAGCTCTGGTCCTCTCCGAGGGAAATACCAGCTTTTAACCACTGAGTCATCTCTCCAACTCTACCCTTTCCTAAATTTTTTTATTAACTGTTACTATTATTATTGTCATTACTATTATTATCATGTGTATATGTGTGCACGTAGGGTTGTCAGAGGACATTTTCTAGAAGTTGGTTCTCTTCTCCCACCATGTGAGTCACAGGGATTGAACTCAGGTCAAAAGGCTTGAAAGATACCTTTATATGATAGATATTTTTATATACCATAATTTAAAAAAAACATTCTAGAAAGAATAAAGAACTAAATGTAAAATATAACTATCTTAAACAAAGATTTATTAAAAAATACAGAATGAATGATTTCAACACAGAACTCTGTAAGCACAACAAGTGATTGAGGAAATGAAAGAAAAATACTAAGAAAGATGACTATGCAAAAATGAATAAATTCCATCGATCTGAAGCTCAAAACTGAAAGATAAACAGTTTCCACAGATATAAAATAATCCATCACACACACACACACACACACACACACACACACACACACACAAATGTAAAAAATTTAAAGAGACCATGCTGAAGAAAGCCAAAACACCTCAACAAAAGCAGTTAGGAAATATAGAAGTGAGTCAATGGTGACATTTCCCCATATATTTGGTAGAAAGCAGCATGAAAGGAATAAAGATTATAGCTTAAAAGCTGTTCTAGTTTGTTTTTCTATTGCCGTGATAAAACTCTGACCAAAAGCAACCTGGGGAGGAAAGAGTTTATTTCATCTTACAGGTTACAGTCTACCATCCAGGAAAGCCAAGGCAAAAACAAGGCAGTTAATGAAGCAGAGATCATGGCAGGACAATGCTTACTGACTTGTTCCCAGGCTCATGGCCAGCCACCTTTGTTATACAACCCAGAACAACTTGCCTAAGGATGGCACTGTCCACAATGGGCTAGGTGCTCCTACATCAGAAAATGCCCCACAGACATGCCCACAGGCCAATCCCATGGAAGCAATTCCTTAAATGAAATTCCCTCTCCTGAATGCGTCAAGCACATTTGTGAATACAAAGAAATACAAGACAAAAAGATTCCTTTTTGAAGAGGACCATACCCAGGCAGAAGAGAGGCAAACTGGAGCAATGAGTGAGAAAAAGGGTAACGTTTCTGGAACTGAAAGCGAATAAACGGCTCAGCAGAGGGCTTTGAAGGATGCAGAGATGCTCATGTAGCAAAGGTACGTATCAGTTCATTTCACTCTGAATTACTGTACAACAGTGATGTCATACATAGCAGGCAGCTTTATTCAGACTGGCTTCCCAATCCGTCTCAAGCATCAGAACAGGGAGTGAGCTATGATTAAGTACTGTACAGAAATCTAAGGATATTTTACACATTCAACTGGTTTTCTCCAATTCAAAAGATGATTGTGAAATGCATACAAAGAATATAAGTGATTCAAATATATCAAGCATCTTAATGAGGTTCTAAATTTTTCTTAAAATTAATTTATCTAAGGTCCACAGTTTCCATTAAAAAGGCTGTAACTCGACAGTACAGCATTACAGTTTATACTGCTAATAGCTGAGTGTTTCCAGTTGTAAATATGAAAGTTTCCCAACAACTCACCACTGCCTTGAATCCAAGTTCCTAAGTTCTCTAAGCAGCTTTTCATTTTTCTTCAGGAGATGGAAGCTCCTCCTAAATAGAGAGATTTATAAACATTTTATACCTTTGCAGGGAAGGACAAGACAGTCTGGAAATACTTCCCATTCTACTCATGCAACTTTTTACACTTTTCTTGCCTTTCCATACTTCTAACACAAAGGAGAACAGAACCTAAAAAAGATGTAAAGAATATATGTCATTATTCCTCCCAGGCTTTCATTCATTTGATGATGTACCGTTATCAAGGCCAGTTCAAACTCTCCTTGTAGATGTTGTGAGCATCCCAAACTTACATCCAGAGGAAATGATACAAGTACTTCTAAGAATTTGCTTTTCCCCCTTGTTTTATATTACAAGTATTAAAACATTTTTTTTTGCTGTGTGTGTGTGTGTGTGTGTGTGTGTGTATGTGTATAGTGTAGTGTATGTGGCTTACATGTACCAGGCAAGTATTATATCTATATCTATTTGTCTTTCTCTCTCTATGTATAGTATACACACACCCTGAGTCTTGTTATTACATATACATGTGTGTATGTGTATACACATATTTTATATACCCTTAGTCCTATTAGGTGTTCTTTTAAAATATGAACAAATATGCAGTTTTAATTTATGTGTACTAAATATGTAAATAAAATTAATACTTACTGTCATAAAATACAGCTTTCTATCTTTAACTTTCCTTAGGAGACAACATATAGAGTATTCCAAAACAAAAAACTACAATGTACTTCTATCATAACTAAAGGACAATTATCTGTAGTCAGCCAAACAAAAAGCAAACTGTGCTCTTTATATAAAATGGCTTAGGGGACGGTAAGGTGACTCAGCAGGTAATAGTGTCTGAATCTGAGTGTAACCCCTGAAACTCACATGGTAGAACAACAGAAATGACTCTTGCGAGTTGTTCTTTGACTTCCACACATTTGCCACTGCATGCATGTACCCTCATTCCTCAGAAACTGCAAGGATACTGTTTAACAAATGGAAGTTTTGTTTTTGTTTTTTGTTTTTTTTTTTTTTTTGGATTTTTCGAGACAGGGTTTCTCCGTAGCTTTTTTGGTTCCTGTCCTGGAACTAGCTCTTGTAGACCAGGCTGGCCTTGAACTCACAGAGATCTGCCTGCCTCTGCCTCCGGAGTGCTGGGATTAAAGGCGTGCGCTACCACCGCCTGGCCAAATGGAAGGTTTTAAACCAAGCAAAACATAAATACTAAGTAAAAGGGGAGAACAAGTCCATCTTAATACCTCACATGTACCTGAAGTATCAGATTTATTCTATTCTTCTGTCATTTCTAAGCTTCTCCCTCCTACTATAAGCTGATATACTTCTATTATTTAGAAATGATATATTTCTATTATTTAATGATAAAGTAAATAATATGTCACCTTCCACTCTCCTACAGCTTTTGACAGCACAAAAATTAAAAACAAAATATAGAGACTGTACACACCATGCCTAAAGTCTTGTGTTCAATTCCTAATAAAAACAACAACAAAATTGACAGGCAGCAGGCACATCGGCACACGCCCATGCTCTGAGCACTTGAAAGGTGGGGACAGAGGAACCAAGAGCTTAAGGTCACCCTCAGCTATGAAGCCAGATCAAAACTAGCCTGGATTACATGAGATCCTGTCTCAAGAAATCAGAACAAACAAAAGACTTAAATATTTATTAGCAATGCTTTACATAAAGTAATTCCTAAGTGTTTTTGTACATTATTTCTTTTTAGTATTGATGTAAAAATTATTCTCAATTTAGATACTCTAGGCCAAAGTTCAAAGACAAAGTATCTCTAACCTAGATTTGATTTAAGTCCAACATTCTTTTCATTTAACTCCTAACTTAATTATTGTAGATATTTGTTTTTGGTATCTTCCGTAGAGGAGGTTAAACACAAGGCCTTGCAATCACTGTACTACACTCCAACCCTATCCTATGGCTATTTTGTTTTGATTTTGGAGAGAGGGTTTCTTAAAAGCCCAGGCTGGCCTTGCTTATTCCTTCAGAATGCTGAAATTATAGGTGTGGACCAACATGCACTCTATTCAATTTTAAGTTTTTATTAAGATCTTTTAACATTTATAAGAAAACAAAATAGGAGAAAAAATATTCTTTTCTTGATATGTTACTGAATTTTGAAATACTTTCTTAATTCAAATCTGAAACAAAAACACTGACTGGTCTGAAAACTGATAAGCTATATAAAAGTTTATAAATTTGATTTTTTCAATTATATGAGTATAATTTCTAAGCTATATAGTTTTAGTAGTTACTATGAAAATGTTAAGAATGAATTGGATTAAATTATCTTTTTATTTCCCTGAATTTTAATATGAATCAACAGTTTAAAAACAAACAAACCCAAACAATTTGCCTATTGCCTAAAAAACTGATTGGTGGATAGAAAATATCAGTTTTGTTTTCTTTATAAAGAATTTTTTAAAAAGATTCATGCTATTTCATATGTGCGAGTGTTTTGCTTGTATGTATATACACATACCACACGCATGCCTGGTGCAGAGGTTAGAAGAGGATGCTGGATCCTCCAGAAATAAAGTTACAGACAATTGTTAGCCACTATGTGGGTGCCAGGCACAGAATGTGGAGTCTTTGCAAGAACAGTCCGAACCACTGAATCAACTCTTCAGCTCCCAGTGTTTTGAATTTTCTCAATTATGTGCATTGTGTATGCTTGTGTGTAGGTGAGCACAATGCCCAGCGAGGCCTGAACAGGGCACTGGACTCACTGGAGCGGAGTCCCGGCTATGGGGTGCCTACTGGGGTGTTGGGAACTGAATCTGGATCCTCTGAAAGAGCAGGATACATTCTTAGCCGTTGAGCCACCTCTCTAGCATGGGAGATAGGGTTTAATAAGAAAAAGAATACAGACAATTTTTTTCTCTTTTTGGTTTTTTTCAAGACACACTCTCACTATGTAGCTTTGGCCATCCTGAAATTTACTCTGTAGACCAAGCTGGCCTTGAACTCACAGACATCCACCTGCTTCTGCCTCCCAAGTGCTGGGATTAAAGGCGCGTGCCGCTATTGACTGAGACTAAAATTCTTGATGAGAAGAACTAATGTTTGGGGGGGGGGGAACTTCTCTTCTCCTTACCGTTTGTCCCAGGAATTCATTCCCAATATACTAAGAAGCAATCTGCAGTAATAGAATGCTGACTGAGGCTTCTGAGGTGTTGGCTCATCTTGTTCTGAGGCTTTCATGTTTAAATCATTAAAGTGCTTCTCCACAAACTCCTTTTCTTCCGTGTATTGCTTAAGGATAGCATTAATGACATCGTTCTCCTGTTTTTCAGAAATGCACACAGGTTGTGGAGCAGGAACATTGAGGGAGACCCCAGTTCTCTGCAAGCATTCAGGACTTGTAGTGCCTAAATACTGCAGGAGCTCGTCAAGAGCATCTTCCTCCTCCCTTATTGTAGACCAAGTTGGTACAGTTTCTCTAAATCTTCTAAGCTGGAGAGAAAGATCATCTTTTACTGTCATGTTTTCTAAGCATTCATTAGATGTAGGAGGCTCTTCTGGTTTCTCTTGGTGAGACATTGAAAGTATGAAAGATGTAGGTTCAGACAAACCACTCACAATGGGTGGCCCATACAGAATGGCAGAATCCCATGAGTACTTTCCAGAGAGGTCACGCACTATGATTCTAACGTTTGAGTTGGCTGACACAAGGCCAGCGGCTAGCCCTCCTCCAGGCATACTCTCTTCTGCTCTTATCTGGATACAAGACACCAAGGTTGTGTTATTCAGCACAAAGAACTGAATGTTCGGACTTTCAAACAGCTCAGGAGAGAGTTCAGTACTCTCACTGTGATGATTGTCATGGTTTTCACAGACCTGACTGGTCAGCATGGCAGGACCACCACTCATTGGGTAATGGCCCAAGTGATTCACCAGATGGGTAATAACAGTACGGGCTGCTATCGAGATCAATCCTTGTTGCATTTGAGTTTTCACTGAAAAAAAAAAGAAGGAAAAAAAAATCACAAATGAATAGAAATAATACTGCTTCCCAGGAATCATAAAACATATTAGAAAAGAAATGAGGACTTTAACACATTGCTAACATCACAACCAAATATCTGAATAAACATTAATGCATACCATCTAGCTTTCTTATTATAGGAATAATGGCAACGAGTAGAGGAAACTTTACTGATGAAGTAGTTTAATTTATTTTATAAGGAAGCCCTTTTGAAACTGTTGCTAATGGATGCACAATTTAAACAAAAGCTTTTAAATGTAGATCACCTTTGAAGATCAAAAGTATCAGAAATCAATTTCCTGAAATACACTAAGCATGCAAATTAAAAAGCCAATGAAATCTATCTAACTGATATGTTTATCTCATGAAGACATTCCAAATTTAGAGCCATAGTCTGCAGCATCTTTAAATGTCATTTCATTCTGGGTTTTACTGATGATAAAAAGTACGTCAGAGAAAAGTGGTATTAAAATAGGGAAACAGTAAATCCTTATATGATAAGGAAACTTTAAAGGCCAAACTCCAAATATAAGCTGTGGGGGCTGGAGGAATGAGCCATTGGTTAAGAGTACTTGCTGCTCTCTCATAGGACCCAGGTTTGGTTCCTAGCACCCAAATCAGGAGGCTCACAACTGCCTGAAAGTTTGGCCCAAAGTGACACAATCTGCCTCTTGCTTCCATGGGCACTGTACTTATGTGCATATATCCTATAAGAGACATTTATACACATAATTAAAAACTAAACCTAAAAAAATATGGGCAGAGGTATAGTTCAGTTGTAGAAAATTTGCCTAACAACAGCGAGACCTTAAGACTGATCTCCAGTGCTTTATAAAAAATATAAACAAATAAAAGCAAAATAAAAAATTCAAAGCTGATAATAGGTCTACTTGTTCAGATGTTACAGCATTTTAAGTAAGTTTTGTGGATTAATATGCTCTAGTCTAGAAGCATGTGAAAAGCATTTTTCCTTCCCTATTCACATTAGGAAACCAGCTGAGCATATTCATGAGTATGAATATGAAAGAGCAAGATAAGAAAAATAGACAACGCAGTAATTTTAGAGGCCTGGAAAAGCAAGATGTCTGACTTACATTAGGACCTGAAGGAGGACAGAGGACCTGGGGAGGGAGGGTGGTTTGAATGAGATGACCCCATAGATCTTGGGCATCTGCATACTTTGTCTATATCCAGTTGGAGGCTATTTGGAGGATTACGACTTGTGGCCTTGCTAGAGGAAATATGCTACTGTAGATGAGATTCCAAATGCCATTTCAAGTGAGCTCTCGGCTGCAGCTGCAGCACCCTGCCTGCCTGCCTCCATGTTCCCTGCCATAATTGTGATGGTCCCCAATCCTGAAATCAAAAGTTCAGATAACCCCCTTCCTTCTGGTCATGGCGTTTTATTACAGCAACAGAAACAGACCTAAGACAGAAGATGAAGACAAAAGCCACAGAAAGAGGTAGGGTACAAAGCCAACTACTAAAATGTTGGGCCATGATATATACAGACAAGTGCTTTGTCATTTTCCAGGGAAACATGGAGATGTACAAAACTAAGTAAATAAATTCCAAGATGTATATGGGTCTATGGCTAGGTGGAGTTCCCTAGAGGGTGGGCTGGGTAGGTAGCTCTTAGAAGGCAGACAGTCACCCAGCTGTGAGTGCCAATGGAGTAATAAACTTGATACTGAGGGACATGTCCCAAAACAAAGCTGCTGCTGCAGTTCTAAGGTGGGATGATGGAGAGGCTGGTATTGGAGTGGTGTTAGGAAGACTGGGAGGAGACTGTTGCTGGTAAGGATGCATTAGATTTCATGCCAGAAGAGGATGCTGTGTCATGAGGGGTGGGGAGGAGTTGGTGCTCTTGCCTCTACTAAGATTTAGACAGGAATCCCATTATCTTGTAAGAACAGCCCAGGCTTACATGTAAAGATGAATTAAAAACTCTTATGTACAAGGCTCAAAATAATAAATACAATATAAACTATACAATTTTGATAGCATTATAAGGGTACAACTTCTAAACATTTCTCTTTTGAACTTGCTTATAAATAAACCCCAAGAATGGTTCAGCTCATTCTGTAGAACATAAACCTCAAGCCTGGGCATTAGTCTCCCCTACACATCCTCTGCCCAAAGAAGGAGACAGAGAATTTAGTTGAAAAGAGCTTGTGGAACAGGACAAGGAGGTGCACGGATGTAATCTTGCACTTGGGCAGGCTGAGTAACAGGGGGAACTCAAGGCTGGCCTGAATACATAGTAAAACCCAGCTCAAAAATCACGAAAATTAAAAAAAAAAAGACTTATTCACTTAAATACTCATCAAATGCTTTAAGTAGAATACAAAACCAGCAAGCCATAAAACTGCTATAATCTACTATAATTATTAACACTGAAAATACTTAAAGGATAAATTTCAAATTTAAATATGAGCAAAATCATTTTTTCTCATAAGTTGCTTTGCTAAATTCAGGATATATGTATATATATGAAAAGGCCAAAATCTTTTAACTTGTTAATTGGGTATTAGATTTATTATTGTTTTTGAGCAATAAACTAAAGAAATATCTCTCTCATACTTACCTGCTAATATAGAAAGAAGACAAAAATTCTCTAATTTAAAAATTAAAATAAAAATTTAAAATAACCAGTCTGGTGAGAAAATGCAAAATGGAGATACCAATGCTTCTAAGGCACTGTAAAACCAGCATTCATTAAATAAACCCAGCTAGTCAGGGTTATCTGTTCAGATCGTCACATTAAACAAGCCCTACATCATTTGCGGCAAACCCATAATTACAGATTATTATAGCATACAAAAGCAGCAAGCCATAAAAAGCTGCTGCAATTCACTGTGCTGTAAAAGACATGCAGAGGAAGTTAATTTTGGCAAATGCTTTAAATATTAGCTTTGTATAATATGTATAGGTGAAACTATAATTAGGGAAGAATGGATCTTTGGAGCTTTCTTTCACTCTGGCCCTGCAAATGATGACTTTTTTTTTTTCTAATAAAATACTGCCGTTTGACAAAAAGCCAAATTCACTACCTTCCCTTGTTCTGTGGTAAATTTAATAATTATAACCACTCTTGCCAATAGTTTTCAAATCACTTTTCAATCCAATACTGAGCTGATTATGGGCACTCTATGTTTAGAATTCATTGCCCAAAAAAGTACTTGAAGACAATGTAGCATGTCTTAGACAAGGACACAATGATCAGTCAACTCTGCCTTTAAAAAAAGCCTCAAAAAAAAAATCCCTACAAAGCACCCCACCCCAAACCAAGCAAACCCGCTGCATGTAGTCCAGAGTCCAGAACTTGAGTAAAGCAGTATCACTTGTTGATACATCATGCAGGTCCTCGATTCTGAACTGACACATGACAGACAACAAAAGGGTGGAGTGTTTGCTATCTGCATTAAGCTCACCTTTAAATATCTTTTCCTCTACTTATTGTACTCTATAGTAAATTTTATATAAAATACATTAAAACTTTTTTGGGGGTGGAGTGAGATGGCTGAGCAGACAAAAACAATTGCTACCAGGCCTGATGACTTGAGTTCCATCCTGAGACCCCACACAAGAGAAAGCACAGAACTGACTCCAACAAGTTGTCCTCTGACGTCCAACACATGGGTGCATATGGACTCTACATATTTTTAAAAGTAATAAAAACCCTTTCTATAAGCAAATTTTGTTTATTATTGTCTAAAATATACTGTCTTAGAATGTTACCATTAAATATAAAGAACAATCATCTTTTTCTATAATATTGAGTAAAATAAACACTGTACTCTGTGATATCTAAAGAGAAAGATTTTCATTACTATCAATTATTGTCTAAGTTTTTTTGTCCTATTACACTACCCAGAATGTTTTTCAGAGCTAAGTAATAACAAATTTTTATGTTCCTATTATTTTATGTACTTGTGCTCTAGATAATTACTAGCAACTTATTCAATTAGGTTCAACTCAAAGCCGGTTTGATCAATTTCCTTGACTTTCCAAAAAAATGTTATTTATTAATTTAAAACCATTTTTTAAAAAATTTTACATACCAATTCCGGCTCCCCCACCTCCCCACCCCATCCCCCATCAAAGCATAAGGCCTCCCATGTCTGTCCACAACACTAGAGGCAGGACCAAGGCCCTCCCCGCTGTATCTAGGCTGAGCAAGGTATCCCTCCACAGGAAATGGGCTTCAAATAGCCAGTTCATACACTAGGGAATGTTATTTAATCTTGGCTTCTAAACTTCCAAAGAATCTGGTTAAGTTTCTACAGCTTGTATGATCGACTGCTATTTCAATGGGGTTTTGCTTGTTTGTTTGTTTTGTTTTCATTTAATTTTTATTTTATTCTAACAGAGGAGAAAACAAAACAAAACAAAAACCCAGAGTAGTTTCTTGACGTGAAGTACATGTAGGTAAGCATTAGTGGACTTCATGTATATGCACCAGACTAGAAGCAGTTGTTAAACAGACAATCTAGAAGAGGAAACAAGTACTTCACTATATCTTTTTCCCTGTTGTTCAGAGTCAAACCAGCTTTTAAAGCATTTGTTGCAGGAAATATAAAGCACTCTGCCAATAAGAAGACGTATTTGTTAGTGTACTAGAATACCTAGTGATGCAGCAAATTATCCTCTTCAGATACTTTTTAAATGTGGCAAAAACCCAACTTTAATATAGTAAGTGGAGTCCTGGAAGTTGAGACATAATTAAATAGATAAAAATGTTACTGCAGGGTTAGTGTAGAGATTACAATGATCTTGAAGGTTTTACTGCGTGATCTGAACTTACTCTGGTTCCAGCTATACCCTGATGCACCTCACTCAGCGGTTAGCCATTCCAGTTAACAATCATGGTAGTCGCTTATGATTCCAAGCACCATGATCTCTTTAAGAACAGAAATACTTCCCCATGCAGGCTTGATTCTAATTCTAGTTTATTTAAAACATTAGTAAAACTGCTGGGTTTTCAAAGGTTGTTACAATGTAAAAGAAAATGTCACCATACTTTTTTCTTATTTCTCTTTATTCATCAAAAATAAAGCTCCAAATTCCTTGACTTTTAATTTCATAACTTCAATTCTATGTATGTCATCAATCTATTATTAGGGTCAAGTCTTAACTCTTTTTAATCATTTGCAACTTTTTTTTTTCTTTTTATGTTGGAAAAACCAAACTCTTCCTTCATAGACTACTCTTTAACCATAATTCCTAGTCCAATTGTGTGATTTTTAAAGATTTATTTATTCATGTATTTTATGCATGAGTGCTCTGTCTTCATACACACCAGAAGAAAAAATATGATCCCATGACAGATGGTGTGAGCCATCATGTGACTGCTGGGAACTGAACTCAGGACTTCCGGAAGTGCATCCATCTAATTGTATTTGAGGTGCCCTTGAAAAAAGCCCTGGAAAGGTGACTGGCTAGATCTCTAGGCTCCACTCTAGTGAAGCTTTATTTTAAAAAGTTTTACAAATTGGGCTTCTTTATAAAACTTTCTTGAAGAAATTCTACTCCCTAAAACACCACTGTATGTGCCGCTGGCTTAGTAGACCAACTCTCAGTGACTTGCAACCATGGGTGCAGATGACTCACAGGTAATGATTGCTGCAGCCTTGGAAAGCCCAGCAATCTTAGAAGATAGACCATCAACATCTCTCGAGGGAATTGGAGTATCCATAGTCTAATGGGGGCTAAAATGAGAACCACTATTTTATTTTCTTATACCATCCACATCTACTTTCTCCCTAGCTGTTGGTTACTCCTGGAAGCAGTTCTTCACCAAACTTGGGTTCCAGATGTAAACAGCAAACCAATACTCTGATATTCATAGTTCCTTTGCCTGATTAGACTCACCTCACTAACTGATGACTAGTTCAACCAAAAGTTTTTGATAGTTTATTTTTCATTGGGTTCTTCATAACTCTTACCAATTCCTTTAATTCACTCTTGATGGAGGAAGGTCATTGGCTAATAAAGGAACTGCCTTGGCCCATTTTATTGGTTAGAGGATAGGTGGGAGGAGTAAACAGAACAGAACACTGGGAGGAAGAGGAAGTGAGCTCAGTCTCGACAGCTCTCCTCTCTGGAGCAGACGCCTGAGAGAGACACCATGCCCTGCTCCCGGGATGAAGCTCCGACCCAGGATGGACATAGGCTAGAATCTTCCTGGTAAGCGCACCTTGGGGTGCCATACACAGATGATTAGAAATGGGCTAAATTAATATGTGAGAATTAGCCTAGAAGAGAATGGGCCAAGCAGTGTTTAAATGAATACAGTTTGTGTGTTGTTATTTCGGGCATAAGCTAGCCGAGCAGGCGGCCGGGGTGCTGGGGACGCAGCCCCGCTGCCCCTATTACTACACACTCTCATTTTTCTTTCCTTTCTAGTATCAAATAAGGGCAAATCCTAGGACTAATGAGTCCCAGTATACTTGTTCATGGACTTTATTCTTTAAATAGTACTCTACTCACTTATTTTGAGTAAATTTAATTACTTCAATATCCCTCAGTATCAATGGACTCAATTCACCAATAAAAAGACACAGGCTAACAGAATAGATATGAAAACTGTATTAATCATTCTGCTATACACAAGAAACGCATCTCAACATCAAAGACAGACATTATCTCAGAGTAAAGGGTTGGTAAAGTATTTTCCAATCAAATGGACCTAAGAAGCAAGTTAGTGTAGCTGTCCTAATATCTAACAAAATAGATCTCAAGCCTAATTTAATCAAAAGAGATGGAAAAGGGCATTTTATACTCAAAGAAAATTCACCAAGCTGATGTCTCAATTCTGAACATTTATGCCCCAAATTTAAGGGCACCCACATTTGTAAAAGAAACATTACTAAAGCTTAAATCACATATAGAACCTCACACAGTAATAGTGGAGGATGTCAATACTTAACTCTCAGTAATGGACAGGTCATCTAGACAGAAACTAAACAGAGAAATAACAGAACTAATAGATATTATAACATAAAAGAATGTACTTTCTCAGCACCTCATGGAACCTTCTCCAAAATTAACCACATATGTGGCCACAAAGCAAGTCCCAAAATAGAGAAAACCATTGAAAAAATCCCCTGTACCTCATCGGACCATGACAGATTAAAGTTGGATTTCAACAGAAACAACAGGAAGCCTACAAACTCATGGTAACTGAACTCTCTACTTAGTTATCACTTATTTTAAGGAAATTCAACTCACTTCCTCCTTAAGAACCTCCTTCACATGATGGAAGGAGAGTTGACTCCCATAAGTTGTCCCCTGTGCTTATATATATATATATATATATACAAATCAAATATAAAAATTTTAACAATCTCTGAGTGCTGAACTCACTATATACTAAGGATTGTGCAAAGGATTTGCATATATAATCTCAATACTCAAAACAATTCATGCTGGAACTAATATTATTACCTGCATTTATAAATGAGGAACTAAAATGTCTCAGGGACTGAGAGTCACTACAAATCCTGTCAGACTTCAAAATTTTCTTATTCTTCAAAAATACTATGAAATCTACAATAAAATATTCCTTAGTGTAAGTCAGCCAGAATATAAAGGGAATATTATCATATGAAATATTAGTTAGTAATTGTACATATGAAGTTATTTCTTAAACTGAAAGCTATCTTATGATAGGTAACTACATGGTTAGGCAAACAGGTATAACCAGAAACCTATTAATGAAAATAGGCCTCAAAGCATATCTTGTCAGAACCCAAGCAAAAAACACTGTCTTGAGGAAAACTAACTCACAGTACCTTCTGTTACAGGTTGGAGTTTAGAAGACCGTTCTGAATCAGGAGAGTGTAGAGGTTCAGGCTCTTTTAGACTTTCCAAATGCATAAAAGGATCATAATCTACAGACGCCAAATCAGAAAGGCTTATTGGAAAATACTTTGGATTGCTAAAACATTGTGCTCCATATACACACCCATGTAATACCTAAGGGAAGAGAAAATATGAAAACAAAACAAAGTAACCAGCAACATAAAAGCTTGGCAAAAACTTGAATATTTTAAATCTTATCTCTTCAATGAAAATAATATTTAGCAACTCTTAAAAAGATGCATGAAACCCAATCAGTGATTCTCATATTCAACACAATCTAACCCCTCTCAAACTTCTGTGATGGAACAAGGCTGTCTTGTAAGAAGTACTCATAAATTACTTTAAGGTTCTATAAGCAAAGTCTATGTATTTTAGACAATATCTAGTTTTAAATAATAAAATGTTATAGTTAGAAATATTATTCAATACTGAATAGTGTTTCTGAAGTTTTAAAAACATTTGGTTATCAAAAATAATAAAGCAAGCAAAAATTTACCTTATAAATGCAGTTGAGGACAGATTTTTCTGTCTTATCATTTTCTGCTCCTGTAGCATGGAGTGGCTGGAGTAGTGTCTTTAAAGGCAAGGCCATGATCCAGTCCAGAAGGCAAAGAAGTAATGACACAACCAACTGTACCAACAATAAAACGAATATCAATGTAAACTTGTTAGAGAAGGGTTTCTCCATCACCACCCCCGCCCTGTGAGAAAGGATCTCATGTAGCTAAAGATATAGGAGATGATGGTTTAATATTGATAATCAACTCGACAGGATCTAGAATCACCTAGGAGACAAACTGTTATATGTCTATGAGTTTCTAAAGTGAATTGAGAGAGTCTGTCTCAAAATAATAATAAGGTGGAGAACAATTAAGGGAAGACACCAAACATCGACCTCTGGCTTCAATATACATATGCACACATGTGTGCACAAGCATACACATACATACACACATACACACAGGAAAGTTGGGGAGATAAGAAGGATGGGTACAACCTTAAATGTGGGTAGCACTTTGATATGCACCATGGTGCAAGACAGAATAAAAAAAATGAAAGAAAGCAGGGTGTTAGTATTCTCCGCTTTCTGCTCCCTGACTACACACAGTCTAACTAGTTGTCTCACAGTCTTTCTTTAAGTTTGATTTGTCAAGTATTTTATTGAGGACAGAAGAAAAACACCTGACACATTAGCCATGGATGACCCTGAACTCCTATCTTCCTGTTTTCACTTCCCAAGTGCTGAGACTACAAACCTGTGCCAACATACCAGGTTTGTGCAGTGCTGGGGATTGAAGTCAGGGCTTTGTCAATGCTAAGCAAGCATGTTACCAAGTGAGCCTTATCTCTAGATTGCCAATAAGACATTATTAGTAAGCAATAAATCACTTTACTTTTCTTGGGTTTCTAGAATTTATTACGGGAACCATAATTCATCCTAAATTCAACTATGAACACTGATACTGATAAACAATTAGTTAATTTTAACAGTAATATACATTGAGGCTGAGAGTACAGCCAGGGGACAGAATATCCTGAGCTTGACAAAAAAAGAATAAGGAAAACATAACTGCATTCAAGTAACTAAACAAAGTTCATATATTAAAATCATGCATTTTTTCATTTTTTCTATTTATTTATTTATTTATTTATTTATTTACTTATTTTTCTATGTGTATGTTGAAGCATATGTGCCAATAAGCTTGTGAAAGTCAGAGGACAACTTGTGGGAGTTAGTTTTCTCCTTCTATCATGCAGATTCCAGAAATTAAGCTTAGGTCATAACCTTGGTAAGAAGCACCCTTACACACTGAACCATCTCATATCCCCAACTTTCCTGTGTGTATATGTATATGGAGGCCAGAGGTCCATGTTTGTTGTCTTTCTCAATTGTTCTCCATCTTATTATTTGAGACAGAATCAATCTCTCCCTGCACTGAGTGCTCACGGATGCAGCTAGACTAGCTGGATAACAAGCCCCAGGTAGCCCCTGCTTCTGCTTCCCTAGCACTGGGACTGCTGGCGTGTACTCTCATGCCTGGCTCTTTATGTGGTGATGGGGATCTGAAGTGGGGTCTTTATGCCTGCACGTCAAGCACTCTACAGTCTAAGCCATCTCCCTAGCTCCCTCCATTTTCCTTTCCTTTTGTAATACTTCATTGAGTATCCTGCCAGAAAGCATTTCCTCCTTTTATTAAATAAAACCTTTCAGTTTAAAAATAATAGATACCATAAACACAATACTTTTAGTCTAATACCGGGATTAGTTTTTGTGTTAGATTAAAAATCATAATTAATGCTAAATAAATAATAGTGTTATAAAAGTGGCAATCAGTCAGCAACTAGGATCTGTTCATCATTAAAGATAAACTCTCTAAATCAAGATTTAATCCCGTTTTAACCTCACAAAACCAAAACATTCCATACGATCGTAAGATAGAAATTATCTATGGTGATTTGAGCAAGACTAGCTCCCGAGGGCTCATATGGAGACTCTGTCCCCAGACAGTGGAACTGTGTGGGAAAGATTAAGGGTGCAACCTTGTTGGAGGAGCTGCGTCATCACATGCCATTTATCAGAAAAATACATGTTCTAATAAACCAACAACTGTTGAAAAACCAGCCCATAAAAAAAAAAACCTTTAAGATATAATAGTATATTTACAAAGAGAACACAGGTTTGGGCTTTTCATTTGTTATAGAGGACATTACTGAGCTAGCTAGTGAAATCTAAGTAAGATTTATAGATTACATTACAATTAACAAATCAATGTTATCACCTAAATGTTGGTAGCTGTACTGTGTTTCTAAAGAAGAACTGCTTGCATTTAGGAAGAACATAATGAAGTTTGTATCATACACTGTAGTATATAGAATGCATACACAACACCGCAGAGGGATAAAGTCAGTGTGGACTAAGGGGACGAAATATTTAACAAAGATTCCTCCTACTATTCTGGAAACTTCCCTATAACATGAACTTATGGCCTCTGTGGGCTTACTTAACATGGAGGAGGCTCTGAGTTCCATCGTCAGCATCATAAAAAATCAACCCAAATTAACCCCTGAAATTAATGTTCTAAAGTAGAACTGAAATTAGAGTTCTGAATTGATGTCAATAGAGAGAGTAAAGGTTTTAGACTCGATCTGCCAATGATAGGCTCCTTTCTTCAGTTTCATATGTAGTAACAATTATATGACTTAACCTAAATTTTATTTCTGTCAACTGGGGATAAAAAAATGTTTTGTTGTTATTTGCTTTGTTTTGAAGTAGCAATAATCCCTATGAAGTGCATAGTGACAGGATTTTTTCTTTTTCTTTTTTTTTTTTGAATCACCATATAAATGATCTTTATTCCTTTTTCTTTTGTTTTTCTGGCAGTGCTGAGGATCAAACACAGGGCTTCATGCAAGCTAGGCAAGTGCGCTCTAAGTGAAGTGTATTTCTAGCGCGTTTTTAACCTCTGTCTACTAATGTTTAAAATTACAATGATATATTCACCAATAACAATAAATCTGAAATTCCTTGCTTAGACAGAGCTTACTCATGCTCTTATAAGCCTGTAATTAAGAAAGGTGTATAAACCGCATTGTAAGTGATTTGACTTAAGAAATGCCTCTCCATGCTTAACAATATTAATAGTTCTTAGATAAAATAGTAGGAGGCTTGTCTAAGTGTAATACATAAGCTTCAAACAAATTCTTGATAGAAGATGCTAAGGTGAAAGGATGAATGGAAAGGTATAAAGATGCAAAACATGGAGAAAAACCAGTGAAAATCTTTTTAAAGTCAAAAGTCTAAAATATTCATATGGTCTCAAACATTCCTTATCACACATGTATGTGTGTGTGTGTGTGTGTGTGTGTGTGTGTGTGTGTGTGTGTGTATATATATATATATATATATATATATATATATATATATATATATGGAGGAGGGTCATACGGCCAGGCAGTTTCTTTATTAACCAATGAAAGTAACACATAGACAGATGACCCTCCTCCATCATATATATGTAATATATATCTCCTTTATATATACTTCTTAACCTTTATATTTATAGTTCTTAGTAAATTATTCTTCATCTTTAAAAGGGATAGTAGAACACAGCAGTAAAAGTGGAGGAAGGGGAATAGAACAGGAAGGGTTAAATGGGGTAGGGAATGGAAGGGAAGGACAGAGGAGAGGATACAAGAAGGGATAAAGAATATTAAAGACCTTTTGGAAAAGGTCTAAAGGTAAATGTCACATGGCAGAACCTTTCTGGGGGCAGAGAAAATTCCTTCTCTTAAGAGGTGTACTTCTAGGCCTGGAATTTTGGCGTACACCTTTCATCTCAGGATTCAGGAGGCAGAGTCAAGCAGATTTCTTTCTGAGTTTGAGGCCAGCCTGGTCTACAGAGAGAGTTCTAGGACAGCCAGGGCTATACAAAGAAACTCTGTCTCAAAAACAAAAACAAAGGAAGTATACTTTTAATATATTCTTGTACTCTGTTTATTGTAAATGTCTGTACCTTCCACTGATAACAGCTGTAAAAAAACAAGTGACTGTCTTCAGTGGTAAATTTCTCTGAATCTCTAACAATATCACAATCTGGCAAGCTATATTAAAATCATTATAAGTAAACAAAATGTTTGCTAAGTTTCCTTACTACTCTGAGATTTCCAGATAGCCAAATGTTCATGAAATTAAAACTAAACTGAAATTTGTTTATTTCTTTTATTTAATGTGTATGAATATTTTGTGTACATGTATGTCTGTTCACCACTTGTACACCTGGTGCCATTAGGTCAAAAGGAGTTGGATGCTCTGAGACTGAATTTACAGACTCCAATGAGCTTCCATGTGGTACTGGGAATCAAACATGGGTCCTCTATAATAACAACAAGTGTTCGTTTTTGTTGTTGTTGCTACTTTCTTTTTTCCTTTTTTTTTTAAAAATTGATTTTATTGAGCTATACATTTTTCTCTGCTCCCCTTCCTATCTCTCCCCTTCCCTTCAACCCTCTCCCATGGTCCCCACGCTCCCAATTTACTCAGAAGATCTTGTCTTTTTCTACTTCCCATGTAGATTAGATCTATGTAAGTCTCTCTTAGGTTCCTCACTGTTGTCTAGGTTCTCTGGGATTGTGATTTGTAGGCTGGTTTTCTTTGCTTTATGTTTTAAAAATGTATGAGTGAGTACATGTGATAATTCTTTCCGGGTTTGGGTTACCTCACTCAAAATAATGGTTTCTAGCTCCATGCATTTGCTTGCAAATTTCAAGCTGTTGTTACTTTTTTTCTGATGTGAAGTACTCCATTGTGTAAATGTACATTTTCCTTATCCATTCCTCAGTTGAGGGGCATTTAGAACAACAAGAGTTCTTAACTGCTGAGCCATCTCTCCAGTACATAAAATGAATTTTTTTTAATATTTATGTAATAGAAAGCTATAGTTCCCCATAGTTGATTTAATACAGATGATTTATCATACAAATATTAGTACCTTTAAAATCTTAAACATTCAATACATATAATATAAATATATATTAAATTTCAAAAATAAAATTACCCTCTTGTCCATTTCATATGATGAAGCTTCTGTACTTGGCAAAAGGTGGGTGACAGTAGCTATTAGGATCTGTAGGCAAAAGATGAAAAAGTAAATGAGTTTAAAACACATGACATTCATTGAATTCCCTAAAACTTAAGTACTACATGCTTAAGTGATAGAAAATCTATTGCTGTAAATTTAACATCAATATAACATCTAAACACAGTTTATAACCCATATACTGTTATATTAATTTGTACAATGTAACTTTTTTAGTACATTTAACTGTTAATCATTTATAATCCTCATATACAGAATGAAAATTACAATACATAAGTTCTGTCAATGGTAAATCATTTCATACAAATTCAATTCACAAGGTCAATCAATGAGTATAAAAACAGATATTCAGGTCCATTAGAGGAAATTCAAAGACAGAGGTAAAGGATTTATAAATATCTTTATAATCCTACCACCTCAAGAACTACATTCCTATGCCTTTCCAGATCTCCCTATCTATGCTGACTGAGCAGCCCACAACTGACATGCTTCAAAATCCAAAAATTTTACTGTACACTCCAAAAGATTTTGTGGTTGGGGGTATCACGCAGTTGTAGAGTACTTGCCTAGCATGCAAGACACACTGGCTCACAGCTAAAAAACACATAAAAATGGTGGAACAGGCCAGTAATCCTAGCACTGGACAAGCAGGAGGATCAGGAGTTCTAGCTCATCCTTACTAGCCAGTAAGTTTGAGTCCAGCCTGGGCTATATGAGACTCTGTCTCCAAATGTAGAAATTTTGAGTTTTAAAGAATTTCAAATTTTTGAATTAGGGATGTTTGACTGCTGGAGTCTATAAAAGTATTCCAAGACAGGAAAATATGAAAGTTTTCTAAGGTAAGAAAACAAAACAAAACAAAACAAAAAATACTTGAAATCTGAAAATACTTCTGATAAACAAACATTTCACATAAGGAATATTCAAGATAGATATATGTGCAACATGTAAATATAGTCTTTGAGGTAAGTGTTTTAAATGAACACATATTAAAAGCATCAAACGTTACCTAAACACATATGAAATAGAAATATGAAATTAAAAAAAGGACGTCATTAAGGTAAATTTCATCTATTTGGAAAACACTTAAATTGCAATGACTTTTTTTGAGATGCAGTGCTGCTACATTGCCCAGGCTAGTGTTAAACTCCTGGGCTCAAGTGCCCTTCCGATCTGATCCTCCTGAGTAGACATCAGTATAAGTATGTGGCACTATTCCCATTTTTTTTTAAGAAAAGAGATGTTTATTTTATCTACATGTGTATTTTCCATGTGTATTTGTATGTGTATCACATTCATGCATAGTAGCCCAGGAAGTCAGAAGGTGCCGAACACCCCTGGAACTCAGGAGCTGGAGCTGCAGATGGCTCTAAGTCACAATATGGCTCTTGGTTCTTCTAGAAGAGCATTAAACAGTGTTAGCCACAGAGCCATCTCTCCAGCCCCACCCACATTTAATAATTTTTATTTTGACTTATATGTACATGTGTATGTCTGAAGGTTTGTATGCTGTTTGTGTGTGGGTGCCTGAGGAAGCCAGATAATGGTACTGATCCCATGGAGCCGACACTAAAGAAGTTGGGAGCACCTAATATGCGTGCTGGGACTGAGTTCAAGTTCTCTGGAAGAGCAGTCAGTGCTTATAATTGCTAAGCCATCTCACCAGCCCAATCCCTAGCCTTTTTTTCCCCTTAAATTTCTGTGTATATTTGCCCATTTGTGGGTATGTGTATGTGAGTGCAGGCTGTGTGGAGGTCAGAGCCATCGGATCCTCCTTTAGCTGGAGATTCAGGCAGCCATAAGCCTTTGATGTATGTGCTGGGAACTAAACTCTGGTCCTATGCAAGAGCAGTAGATGCTCTAACTGCTGAGGCAGCTCTTTAGTCCCTATTCTTAGCTTTTATTTAACATTTCTTTTGTAGTAATGGTGATTGAATCTAAGCCTTGGCATGTTAGGCAAGTACTCTACCACCATGCTACCTCGTCTTTTAAATTCAACAGTTATATTAGTTAATTTTTAATTAATTAAAATAGGGTCTCACTAAGTAGTTCAGGGTGTCCTAGAATATGTAATTCTCCACGTCAGCATCCCGAGTAGCTGATATTACAGACACCAGTCACCACAAACCAGCTGTGGTGGTTTGAATAGGTATGGCTCACATACACTCATGTGTTTAAATGTTTGGCCACAGTATGTGGCCTTGTTTGAGTAGGCAGGGCTTTGTTGGAGTAGGTGTGACTTTGCTGGAGGAAGTAAGTCCACTGTGGAGGTGGGCTGTTAGGTCTCATATATGAGATATTAGACATGGAGAAGCAGAAATTAGAGATTACCCAGCTGCTTTTCAGTCTTGCATTGGCCCAGTATTCCCTTACTATCCTTCCATTCCTTTTGGAATGGTAATATATACCCTGTGCCATTATATGCTGGAAATATGTAATCTGCTTTTTGATTTTGATTTTACAGGAGATTACAGTTAAGAGATTTCATGAAATCTCAGAAAAAACTCAAAACTTTTAAACAGGATTGGGACTGTTAGAGACTATGGGGCCTTTTAAAGTTGGACTCAATACATTCTGCATTATGCTCTGGTTATAAACCTATGGGGTATAGGGGTTTGAATAGGTATGGCCCCCAAAGACTCACGCATTTAAATACTTGACCATAGGGAATGGCTTTGTCGGAGGAAGTGTGTCCCTGTGGGCGCAGGCATTGAGGTCTCCTATGTGCAAGCCACGTCCAGTGTGGCACACAGTCTCCTTTTGTTTGTGGAATGATGAAAACAGACTAAACCTCTGAAACTGTAAACCAGCCCCAATTGTGTATTTTCCTTTATAAGCATTGCTATGGTCATGTGTCTTTTCACAGCAATAGAAAGCCTAACTAATAGAGCAATCTCATATACATGTTGCAAATGCAGTAAAGGTGCTGGTACTAAGTATGTGTAAGCCTGTGAGGGAGCACATGTATATATGTGAAGGCCAAAGGTCAGCGCTGGGTTGTCCTCTTCAGTCGCTTTCCACCCTGAGTTTCGAGAGGGGGACTCTCAACCTGAAGTTCATTCATTTGGCAAGACTCGCTGGCCAGTAAACCCTAGAAATCCTTCTGAGTCTACTTCCCCAGTTGTGGGACCACAGGTGTGATCTTCAGCACCCAAATTCTATGTGAATGCTAGAGATGGAACATAGGTATTAAGCAAGGACTTATCAACTACACCATTTCCTCAACCCCTGGAAATAATTTTTATTGCATTCTTACTGTAATTGTACTTATACACTATTATATATTTTTAACCAACTGTTTCCATGTATTAAGTAGAAAACTTCTAAATATACCTACCATACAAATTCAAATAGCTCAATAGTAATGAAATAGACTGAAATTTCATGGGAAATTTTTTTGAATAGATCATTCATCAAAAGAACATATACAACCAGGCAGGCAGTGGTGGCACACACCTTTAATCTCAGCACTTCGGAGGCAGAGGCAGGTGGATATGTGTGAGTTCAAGGCCAGCTTGGTCTACAAATCGAGTTCTAGAACAGATAGGACTGTTACAAAGAGAAACCCTATCTCGAAAAATCAAAAACAATATATGTATATGTGGAAATAAGCTAAACATTAAGACTCAAAAGAGAAGTGCAAATAAATAAAAAGTGAGGTCTAGCGTTTAGCTTTTGACAAAGAGAATACTTAGAGATCTGAGGCTCAATATCCAGTACCAAAAGATAAGCAAAAACTCACAATGAGATAACCATTCACTATAGTATTAAAAAAGACAAAAGAAAAATGTTTGTGAGAAGTGTTGTGACATGCAAATCAGTACATTAAAAATGGCACAGCGGTTACTCAAAAATTTAAAAAAGGACTTCCATATATAATGTAATCATTTCACTACAGGATAAATTCCCAAATGCAATGAATTCAGAACCCACAGGTATCTTCGACACTGCATCCAGCCTCTCCACACAGTCAGATCTCAACATCCATCTGCAGGATCTAACCTGATCCCATCACAAAAATCATAATAATACAAATGATCAAACCAGCATCTTCTCTCCAAAACCTACCAGTTTGGTGGGAATGCTTGCCAGTGAGAATGACCTAGATGAAACCCAACACAGGATTTAAAGTTCATCAAAGAATTTGAGGAGTTTACAGAGGACACAAAGAAACAGCTCAATGAAAGAAAAAAGAAAGAGTAAGGAGAACAACATCCAAGTGATGGCCAATAAAACACAAACATATAGTTGAGGGAAATGACGATGCAGGACTCGACAAGAGAATTCAGTAAGGAGATAGAAACACTGAAGAGAACTCGAGCTGAAATGAAGAAGGAACTGAAACCCAATAACTCAACTAAAAAACTCAAAGGAAAGTCTTCTAAGTAGAATGAATCAAGCAGAAGACACAATTACAGGACTTGAAGGTAAAGCAGGATCTAGAACAAATATGCAAGAAATATGAAAAGTCAAAGGAACATACAGGAAATGAGGGAAACAATAGAAAAAACCCTTCAAATTATAGGCATAGATGAGGAAGAATCATTCTAGGACAGTGACAGATAAGAACTTAAACAAGATCATAGAAGAAAACTTTCCCAAACTAAAACACACCTTTACAGAAAAGCATATGAAAGAACACAGAACATTAAATAGACAAGATCAAAAAATAAAATCCCCAAAGCATATAATAGTTAAAACACTACACAGTGCAAGAGAAAAGGCAAATATCACAAATAAAGAAAAAAATCCCACAAGAATAACAGCTGATTTCTCAATAGAAACTTGGAAAGAAGAGCCTGGAGACATGTATTCTAAGTCCGAAAAGACTATAACAGCTAGCCTTAGACTAATATGCCTGCCCAGCAAAATTACTTTTCATAATTGAAGAAGAGAGAAAAACTTTCCAAGATATAATCAGACTAAAAAATTTATATTCAACCAAAGAAATCTAAATAACGTATAAGAAGCATGACTTCAGACAGAAGAGAGAAAGGAGCATAGCAGAGAGACAGTGGAAAGAAATATGAAGCCATAATTATTAAAACACAAAGTTCCACTGAGAACACAAACAACACCAAAAATTAACAATGTAATGACCACAATTGACACACACATGTCAATAATAACTTTAAATATCAATGGCCCTGATTCTACACCCAAAAGATACAGACTGATTGAATAGATCTGGAAACAAAAAGACACCTATCTGTTGTCTGCAAGAAACACAGTTTGGCTTTAAAGACAGGAACCACCATAAAGTAAAAGGAGGGACAAAAGCACTCAAATTCAATAAGACTGGGAAGCAAAGAAATACCTAACAAAATAGGCTTCAAATTGAAAATAGTAAGAGATAAAGAGAAACACTTCATTCTACCCAAGGAACAGCTAACCAAGAAGACAATCCCTGGTATTCATATACCCAGAGTCTGGAATATTCTGGTGGAGGCTCCACCTCAAAACCCCTCCCTGATCTCATTCTCCCTAAACCCTGTCTCATTCCAGAAAGCCCATCATTGAAAGCTCCTCCCTGGAGATGCTCAAGACTATGCTTACCAACTATTTAAGATCCAACCCATAGATCTGCCATGGGAGCCCTTATGATCTGTCCCCTGCCTTCCCAAGGGTTACCTGGGAGTGTTCTGCTTTGCATTGCCCTCTTTATTAAATCTGGATTTATTAATTCAGTTTGATTTGGCTTATTGCATCAGCAGAGGAGGAGCTCAGCAACCAGGAATCCAGTATCTAACAAGGACATTCAATCTCAGCACCTACAAGGTGGCTCACAACCTCTGCAACTTCAAGTCCAAGGATCTGATACCCTCTTTTGGCCTCTGTAGCTACCAAGAACACAAGTGGTGCAAAACATAAATGTGTGTGTGTGTTGTGTGTGCATTTACACACAAACATATACACACACATATATTAGGCAAAACACCTATACATATAAAATAAAAGTTACATATTGGGCTGTGAGCAGTGGTGCATCCCTTTAAGTTCATCACTTGAAGGAGGAGGCAGGTGGATCTCTATGAGCTTGAGACTAGCCTTATCTATATATTGAGTTCCAAACCAATCAGAGCTACATAGTGAGACCTGAACCAAAAAATAAAAATTAGTTATTTCTGAAGAGGCAAATGATATAACAACTGCTATCAAGTAGGAACTTAATAAATACTTGTTTTCAGCTTTCTTGAAGATGTAAGAATACCAAGAAAGGCATACAGAGGGAGAGGATTTTGAGAGAAGTAAAGCATTTCAGAGAAGATGAGAGTTAGAGGTACATTTGGGAGAGAGTAAGCAGACTTAGTTGCCCAAATATAGGCCCCATATTTCATGGGAAACTGTATATTGTTCTGGAAAGATGAGATGGGTCTTCAGTTGGAGGTCTGAATTCACAGCCAAAGAAAGGAACTTTATTTTATGGCCAAAGATAAATGTGGAAAAAACCTTTTTTCATTTTTGTTATAGGTAACATGACAAAAAGTCATGTGAATATTCATGATGCCCTAAAGGGGAAGATGGTGTGGGAGGTCCTTCAGTCTATGTGTTGCTTTTATTGGTTAATATATAAAGAACTGCTTTGAGCCTTTGTTGGGGAAGAACAGAACTAGGCGGGGAAAGCTAGGCTGTATGCTGGGAGAAAGAAGGGCAGAGTCAGAGAGAAGTCATTTAGCTGCCAGAGACAGACACTGGGAACTTTACCTGGTAAGCCACAGCCACATGGCGATATACAGATTTTTTTTTTTTTTGAGACAGGGTTTCTCTGTGGCTTTGGAGCCTGTCCTGTAACTAGCTCTTGTAGACCAGGCTGGTCTTGAACTCACAGAGTCCACCTGCCTCTGCCTCCCGAGTGTTGGGGTTAAAGGCATGTGCCACCACTGCCATACAGATTAATAGAAATGGGTTAAATTAATATAAGAGTTAGCCAATAAGAAGCTAGAGTTAATGGGCCAAGCAGTGATTTAATTAATATAGTTTCTGTGTGATTATTTTGGGGCTGAGCAGTAGGGAACCAACAAATGGCTTCCTCCTACAGGAAGAAGGAAGTGCCCTAAAGGTACTTGCCAGAAGCAAGACACTGCAGTAGCAAAAATGATTGGCTAAAAAAGGAAGGAATAATGCCCTGATTCTGGTAAACTGAAAGGAGAGCATGTTTAACTTACCTAAGAAAATGAGGCAGAACATAGATTTATAAACACAATGGCATTAAGAAGTTTGTATAAAAAATATAACTTTCACAACTAATAACTATTTTCATGACTTAAAAAAATTTCATTCCAAACCAGGAAACAATACTTTTTTTTTGGTTTTGTTTTGTTTTATTTATTTTTTGAGACAGGGTTTCTTGTGTAATAGTCTTGGCTGTCCTGGAACTCCCTCTGTAGACCAAGCTGATCTTGAACTAGGAGATCCGTGTGCCTTGGCCTCCCAAGTGCTATGATTAAAGGTGTGTGGCTCCATCACCCGGTGGAAACCATACTTCTAACAAATATTACAAAGGAGGGGGCTGGAGAAATGGCTCAGTGGTTAAGAGCATTTACTGCTCTTGCAGAAAGCCTTGGTTCACAGGATGGTTTATAACCATTTGTGGTTCCAGTTCCAGAGTATCTGATGCTCTCTTCTGATCTCTGCAGGCATTACATGCATGTGGTGCACATACATACATGCATATAAAATAAAGATCTCTTAAAAAATTGGTTCCCATGGGAGGCCTGCCCTTTTCTTAACAGAAACAGAGGAGGTGTGGATTGGGCGGGGGAGGGCAGTGAAGGGAGAGGAGAAGGACTAGGAGGAGAAGAGGAAGGAAAACTGCAGTTAGGATGTAAACTAATCACATAAATAAATAATTTAAAAATATAAAGGAATTATCAGGAACTTTGATACAAAAATGTAGAAAAACCAAATATTTACCTATGAAAAAAACAGCACCTATTAAAATAATTTCATATTTAAGGTATCCATATCTAATAAATTTTAATATATGGTTATAATAAAAATAAAGAAAAAGTTGTTCACCTGAATAATTTTCAAGGGCGAGTCGGGCTGGTAGGTCTGCAGTCTAGGTGCATAGTGAACCAGCATGTGAAGCATGTGACACGCCACATGCGCAACTGTTTTATTCGTGAACTGAAACAACAAAAGCCATTGTTAAAAAACCCTTCTTTATGCCTACTCGTCAATATTAGCTTCTGGTGATTTAAACCTCATGTTTCCTTTTGGCATAAATATCAGCTGTTGTACCGTACATCTCTCAAAGCTGTACCTACAATTTCCATTTTATTCTTCACTTTGCTCAGTAAAGCGCCTCAAACATAGCACATAATCAGAATTATCGTCAGTTCACTGGGGTTACTCAAAAGTGCTTACTATGCATAACACATATTTAGCCTTAAACAGATGCTGTGGTATTAAAAGCTTTAAGACAAGAATAATAAGTATTCTTTCATAAGTAAAAATACTCATATAAGCAGGGAATAGTGGAGCATGACTGAAATTTCAGCATGCAGAACGCTGAAGCAGGAAAATTCTGAGTTCGTGACAGTCTGAGCATTCTACTGAAATTAGAAGGTAGCCTGGGCTAAATAGTGAGACTGTCTTAAACAATAATAGCAAAAAGAAACCCCTAAATAATACTGAAATGCAGTAAATTTTATAATTTTATTCGATATTCTACTTGATTAGATTATCACTAATTTTTTAAACTCTTTTTGTGTTGGTTGCCTGCATCTATGGATGTACACCATATATGTGCCTGGTAGGCAAAGAGGCCAGAAAAGGGCACTGGGTCTCCTGGAACTAGTTATAAGGAGTTCTGAGTTGACACATGGATGCTGGGAATTGAACCCAGGGTCCTCTGAAACAACAGTAAGTGCTCTTAACCACTCAGCTATCTCTCCAGCCCCTAGATTACTACTTTTAAACAAATTTCTATTCTGGTTATAAAGAGGATATTTATTTTGATTAATAAAGTCAAAAACTCAGTAATTTAGGGAATAATAAAGATCAGAAAGTAAGTCACAAAAATACTAGTTAAAAATCAAGAGGGCTGGGAAGGTGGCTCAGCTTGTGCCTACAGCTGAAGTGTGAGGATTTGAGTTCAAGTTCTCAGCATTCTATGAAAAGCTGCCCATGACTTTGACCTCAGCACACAAGCATACACATAAACATACACCATACCTCTCTCCCTCTCCCTTCTCTTATGCATACACACACACTAAATCATCTCCCTCCTATGTGCTGTTTTAAATAACTGGTTTATTTTTAAGATGTCAATCACATATTTTCTAGGAAAGAAATCAAATATAGAAAAGTTCAGACATAAGAGCTCATCACAAAAATACCTTAAATTCAAGAGTGGAACTATTCTTAAAGTGAGTCAGAATCAGGAGTTAATGTAATAATACATGATGAAAATGACTATTGAATGTTGTAGTCACAGGGTCCCAGGATTATTAAATGTGTGGGGGGAAAAATCCTGTGTCCTAATGATCTCGATATTTTTCATGAAATAGATTTCTTTACCTTTAATGAAACACAAATTACATTCAGAGCTTCTTTAATTTGAGGATGATGAGATTCATGAACTAATTCTTCACAAATCCAAATACCTAAACTGCAAAGTGCTACACATCTGAAAAAAAAAAAAGATACCCTACAATGACTTCAAATAAAACACAACATTCAGTACATTCACTGTTTAAATGAATCAAAGACTTTGCTAGTTAGCTGATAAGTGAGGAAAAGCAGAAATAAAAACACTGCCAATAGAAAGCCAGTTTTCTCCTGTAATTCATCACCAATAGTGACACAACAAACAGAGCAGGAGTGCTGGGAACAACATGCAGCACCTTTCTGACAAATCCCTAAGATTAAATTGACGAGAAGTCTTCTTCCCAAACAAACAGAGAGCCTGCTTTACAGGAGAGAGTCTAATATTCTTGACTAGCAACAGGACAATTAGCTTAGATAAATATAATTGATGGAGTAAGTAAAATATTTTTGTTATTCAAATTTAACACAACTAGCCACAATTTTCTTAAACAAACTAAAAATAATTTTTTTTTTTTATTTTTTGAGACAGGGTTTCTCTGTAGCTTTTGGTTCCTGTCCTGGAACTAGCTCTTGTAGACCAGGCTGGTCTCGAACTCACAGAGATCCGCCTGCCTCTGCCTCCCAAGTGCTGGGATTAAAGGTGTGCGCCACCACCGCCCGGCTACTAAAAATAATTTTTAAAAACTCCAGAAGAAATAGACCTTGTAGGGCTTTACTTGCTTCTCTAACCTTGTGGGGTTTTATCTTCCTAAAAGTGACTCAGCTAAAATTCAGCTGGAAGTTACTTGGTAATCAGAATCAGGAAGACTTCAATGTACTCAAGTTTAGGCTTCTAATAAACTGTTTAACAGTTCTCTCCAAGTATAAAAATAGCCTACTATCTGTAATTCTGGCATACGTACATGGATTAATACTGATATTATTACACTACATTTTAGAATAGTTCAATGAATTTTTTTTCTTCTAGAACAGAGGAGTCTGAAGTCTTCTCTTATGGTGCAGACTGTTGTTACCCAACTGTTTACACCAGAGATGATCAAGATGTCTTCAGAGTAAGGGCTACTGCCTTATTTTCCCTCCTTTGGCATCAACCCCTAATTCTTACATAGATCAAAGCAACTAAGTTCCAGGTTTCAGCAATAGCAGTGTATGAAGTCATAAAGCAACAATGCATTTTGAAATGCAGCAAAGTGTTCCATAAACTCAATTGACCAAAAGCACAGATGGAGAGTGCCAATATGAACTAGCTTTTGTTGGAACACCAAGAGTTGGCTGTAATCCTATAATCCAAGCACTTGCAAAGCTGAGGCAGGAGAATCAGGTCTTGTTCAAGGGCAATCGTGGCTATATAGTGAGCTCAAGGCCAGCCCATATTTACATGAGATCATGTCTCAAAAAACAAAAATCAATGAATTAAATTAAAACACTGAAATATTAAATAATAGGCTACAAACAAGATGTTTTCTAAATTTGTGTGAGTACACCAAGAGAAAGTAGAGGGCATATAAGAGACTATGGTGTTTCTTCCCTAATTTATTAAAATAATTAAGATTATTTTGGGATTGGGAGATGGCTCAGTGGGTAAAAGTGCTTACTACAAAGCATGAAGACTTGAGTTCAGATACCCAGCGTTCCATACCTGTAAAACCCCAGACATGTCTGTGTAAACCAGCAACCCCGATGAGGACAGGGGAAACAGTATAGTGCTGGACAACAGCCTAGCCAAAACTTGGCAAGTTCTAGGTTCAGGGAGAGATCCCATGTTTTAATGGAATAAGGTGGAAAACAACAGAGGATACCTGATGTCTTCCTCTGGCCTGCACACATGCATGCGCGAGAATTGCATAGATATGTGTACACATACATATATACACATACGCACAAAAAGGAAAGTAAAAATCTTCTGATAGTCTATTAAAAATCATGATCAAATAGGTGGCTATTAAAGTATACTATTTTCTTAGATATATCAATTTTTGTAATCTAAATATTTTAATGAACATTGACCTCTACTCTGTACTTCAAAGCACTATATAAATAACCAATGAAACATAATGATGAAGTAAAAGGTAGTCAAATAAGATTAAAACAAATTATTTTATTTATGAAAGATGAAGGCTTTTAGAAGTCTGGAACAATTTGAAGTGTTGTAATTTTTACAAACTGCTAGGGATAGCTGTTACATTAAGAATATCTGACCTACCTTGCAGGACCAGAGGGCTCATCTCTTGCTGAGCTTAGTACAGTTTTAATTATAAGTTCCTAAAATAAGAAGAAACAGAAGAAATGATTACAATTTCTAATGTACTAGTATAAGGAATGAATTAGTACAGTGTACTAATTCAACAAATATTTACGAGTTGGCCATTCTGGACCAGACATTAATGCTCTGGGCATTAGAAATAGAGTGGGTAAGTGAACAATCCATTCTTAAATTTACTTTTAATAAAAACCCAGAATTATTCTAAAAGGTGGCTGTTGCGGGAGGTCCTCCCACTCCTCCAGCCTATAGCTGCTGAGATACTAGCCCATTGGGGCGTGGTCTCTCTCCCTTTAAAAAAGCGGCCACTTCCCTCTCCTCTCTCTCTTCACTTCCTGCTCCTCCGGCAACTAGACTCCCTTCCTGGTTGCGTAGAGGGCTGTTGCCTGGGACAGTGATCTGTAAATTTTTTCCCCTTTAAATAAATACCACCCCATTAATCATAATTCCAAACTGGTGTGGCATTGTTTGTGACTTACGCCTTCATTTTGGCGCCCAACGTTTGGTTTTAGAACCTCTCCTTTCCCCGCGGCCAGCCGCGAGTTCGGCTTGGCGGGAGCCCTCCCTTCCTCAGCCGCCGCCTGTGCCTTGCAGCTGCGGCCTTGGCCTCCCCACGTGGATTTAAACTCCACAGGCCCGCGTAGTCTCTGCCCGCGTGGTTTGCTCTTTTCTGAGTTGTTTTTAAATCTCCCTTGCAAGCACAGCTCTTTAGTGGCACGAACCAGAGCACGCGGTTGCTGAAAGCTGAAACCCCTCAGGGTGACTCTGTCACGTAGAGGCATAAGCGGCTTCCAGGTTGCTCTTCTCTACCCCTGGATTCTGGGTTTTTGGTTACGTCTCTGGAATTGATTTAATTACATTTACTTTGTTGAGAAACTTGCATTTTCCAGTTTTTAACATCTACTAAGACACTGAAACAGGACCCCGGTTTCATCGCGACTTGGCAACAGCGCCACCTGCTGGATAATAGGTAATATGGCAGTTTTTGTTTCTAACGCAAATTTTACTGCTTTGTTTTCACTAATACAATGGATTAGTAAATTTATATTTACTAATACAATGGATTACGTCATACAAGGTTTATATGATTATGGGGATACCTTGATTTGCTTGTTACTAGGTGTCAGTTTTCTTTTCCATATTCTATCATTAAGGAAGAATATGGCACTCCTAAGAACAATAGAATCTTTACGAACTAATAATGAACAACTAATTGACAAGATTAAAATTATTGAAGATCACAGGTTATCTGAACAAGTGGATGCTATGACAGACAAAATTGACTCCATATTCAAGGGTATTAGAAAGTTACCTGAAAGGGTTCAGGCTGTTGAATTTGACGTTCAGACTTTATCACAAAGTTTTGATAAGGTAACAGACAGAATGTACCTCCAAGATGGGAATCTACATGATATACAAGGAAAGTTTAAGGAGGACATGTTATCTTTGAAGGAAAAAATTAAAGCTTTGGAATCACAGGTGCAGAATGGGGACCAAAAAATTGATGCCTCAGTGAAATCACTGGAAATATAAACAGGTCAGGAGATTCAGGAATTAAGAGAGACAATGATAAAAAGATTTGAAAAGATTGGAGAAATTATTGCAGCTGGTGAACAGAGTAAGGAGGCACAAAGACAGGATACAATGCCTCCACCAGCTATTAGAACTGGCTTACCCAGGGTTCTAGCAACATACCCTATACTTAATTCTGACAAAGCGTCAACTTCTAAAGGCTCAAAGGGAGTCAAAGAAGCTAGATGGACGCCAATAGCAATGAATGATCTGAAAGAAATTAAGCAAGCTGTTGTTAATTTTGGCTTGCACAATGCATATGTAAAGGAAATGATAAGGACTTGGGCTTCTAATGCTAGAGCTACCCCCCATGATTTCCATCAGCTAGTGTCTGCAATTTTAGATAATGGACCTTCCTTGATGTTTGGAATGTATTTCAGAGAAGAAACCAAACATATGGAACAGCAAGGAAGAGCAAAAGGTGTTGAGGTTTCCCAAGATCAAATTCTTGGTGCAGGAGAATATGCTGATCCACAGGTCCAAGCTCTTTATGACGATGAAGTACTGTGTCTATGTCACCAAGCAGCTTTAAATGCTTGGAATAGGATACAAGATCCAGTAAAAAGGGTTGAATCATATACCAGAATTAGGCAGGGACAGAGAGAACCCTTTATTGACTTTTTGCAAAGATTAATTAAGGTTTTGGACATAGGGGTAACAGACCCAGAAGCTAGACGAATACTTCTTGAATCTCTAGCTTTTGGGAATGCAAACATAGAATGCAAAAAGATAATTGGGCCTTTAAAGTCTAGATCAGCACCTATGGATGAATGGATTCAGCATACAATGAATGTTGAGACGTTTAGCTATAATGATGAATCTTGGGTAGGAGAAGCGATTTCCAAAGCAATGAGGAGACATCAAACTGCCAGGTGTTTTAATTGTGGTAAATTAGGACATTTGCAAAGGGATTGCAGGCAAAGAATTTCTAGGAATAATATCTCTTCTGGGAATGACAAAAATAGGAGAGCTCGGCTTTCAGGTATATGTAGGAGATGCAGTAAAGGCCGGCATTGGTCCAACGAATGTAGGTCAACAACAGACGGGGCAATCCGATATCATCGGGAAACTCCTTGGGGGGCATCTCGCAGGCCCCCAAGCCAACAGTGGCCCAGTCATTCCCAGTCACAGTGGAGAATGTGCCTCACCAAGAAAATTAAAAGCTCCAATTTCTGCTGTAAAGAGTAATACTGGTCTAAATGATGAATTACGTGTGGAGGATGAGTCAAAAAAACCAATAGGACAGAGTAAACGTATATTTTGGCAGACTTCTATTAATGATCAAAGACCAAAGCTAAGAGTCTGTATAAATGGCACTTTTATTGAAGGCTTATTAGACACAGGTGTGGATGTAAGTATCATTACCCCAGAATCTTGGCATCCGAATTGGCCTCTTCAAGAGGTAGATGTTCAGTTTCTGGGAATTGGAACCCTATCTCGTGTAAAACAAAGCACAAGATGGGTTGAATGCATAGGGCCTGAAGGGCAAATAGGAAGACTAAGGCCATATAAAGCCAATACTGCCAGAAATTTATGGGGCCGTGACCTGCTACAGCAATGGAATACCCAGATTAACATTCCTGTATTTCCAGGAATTCATAATTCTGGGAAGGATATGATGAGGAATTATGGAAAAAGGTCATCAGCCATTCAGGCTATAGAAGGACATACAGCAAATACCAAACCTTTAGAGGTACCAACAGCCCTACCTTTAAAATGGCTAACTGAGAAGCCAATATGGATCAAACAGTGGCCTCTAGCTGAAGATAAACTACAGGCATTGGAACAGCTGGTGCAAGAGCAACTAGATGCTCACCACATTGAAGAATCAACCAGCCCTTGGAATTCTCCTGTGTTTGTTGTAAAAAAGAAATCTGGTAAATGGAGAATGGTGACAGATCTAAGAGCTGTCAACAAAGTAATTCAACCTATGGGCCCACTACAATCTGGAATTCTTTTGCCTTCTCTGTTACCAAAAGGATGGCCTCTTATAGTTATTGATTTGAAAGATTGTTTTTTCACTATACCATTACAAGAAAAGGATAGAGAAAAATTTGCCTTCACAGTGCCTACTTATAATAATTCTCAGCCTAATAGGAGATATCAATGGACTGTCCTCCTACAGGGTATGCTCAATAGTCCTACACTGTGCCAATATTTTGTAAGTAAGCCATTGGAAATAATTCGTAAACAATTCCCCAAGTCCATAATTTATCATTACATGGATGACATCTTGTTATCTGATTCAAATAAAGATACTTTAGAAAGGATGTTTGAAGAAGTAAAGAAAGTCTTGCCTAGGTGGGGATTACAAATTGCCCCTGAAAAGATTCAAAGAGCAAATTCTATTAATTACCTAGGTTACAGAATAGGGTTAGAGAAAATTAAAACACAAAAGGTACAAATTAGGAGAGACCGGTTAAAGACTCTTAATGACTTCCAAAGATTGTTAGGAGACATTTCCAGTCTACGACCAGCTGTTGGGATAACACCTGATCTAATAGTTCATTTAAACAAAACCTTAGATGTTGATAAAGATTTGAATAGTCCAAGAAAACTGACAGCTGAAGCAGAAAAGGAACTGACAATGATTGAGGAAAAATTACAGGAGGCACATGTGGATAGGGTGAACCCAAATCTTAGCTACATCCTAGTCATATTGCCTTCCAGAATTTCTCCTACAGGGATTCTAATGCAGAGGGAAGATATTATTTTAGAGTGGATATTTATACCTAATAAACCAAGTAAAAAATTAAAAACTTATGTGGAAAAAGTCTCTGAATTAATTATAAAAGGTAAGCTGAGACTTCGTCAACTAGCAGGTATAGACCCAGCAGAAATTATAGTGCCTTTTACTACTGAAGAAATAAAAAAGTTATGGGAAGACAATGAACCGTGGCAAAGAGCTTGTGCTAATTTTTTGGGAGAAATTAATAGCAACTATCCCAAAAGTGGTAGACTTAACCTCATAAAAAGAACTTCTTGGATTCTTCCTAGAATTGTACGTGATGCTCCAATAACTGGAGCCCGTACGTTCTATACTGATGCAAATGAATCAGGGAAAGCAGGTTACAAGTCAGATGAATTGAGTAAGGTGGAACAAAGCCCTTATAATTCTGTCCAGAAGGCAGAATTATATGTCATTCTTATGGTGCTAAGGGATTTTAAAGAACCTCTTAATATAGTTACAGATTCACAATATGTAGAAAGAGTTATCTTGCATATTGAAACCGCTGAATTTATACCAGATGACACAGAGTTGACTTCATTGTTTATCCAGGTACAAGACATAATCAGGAACAAGCTTTGTCAGATGTACATAACACACATCCGGTCCCATACAGGTCTGCCTGGTCCTCTAGCCCAAGGCAACGCTGAGATTGATCAATTATTGATTTGAAGTGTGTTGCAGGCCTCAGAATTTCATAAG